AAGACTCAGACACCGGCTTCTCAGGGTACCATCGACCTCCGAGTATATCAGAGTTTGGTGGTCGACGATCCTTCGACCGCCGCAGGCCACAAGGACCTGAAACATACGACGAGGACACTTACTACAAGACTAGGAAAAGACCTCGTGCGAATGTCTACCGCCGTGAAGCAGAGAATGACGAGGAGCCACAAGTCCAAGTTGTCATGTCTAAGAGAGGTATCAAAATTGGCAACCACCAAGAAGTCTGGGACATTTGTGACCAGCGTTTCAGAAACATGCAACAAACAGCATGCAAGTTGATTGCCAAAGCTTGGGTCAAGCTCGTGGAGCCCAAAAAACAGTCGACACATCCTTACACTGGAAAGGATGAGAAGGCACCAGACTGGTGGCCGAAGGCATGGGGTCCAACTAAAGAGGAGAGAGTGCGGCATAAGGAACCGGACCATCTTTACAAGAAAGGTGAATACCCTTCTAATTTGGGCGAGTTAGCCCATGTTATCAGTCACTGACATTTCCTCTAGAGCGGGTTCATCTTCTCAACCACATTCTTCGTATGATTGTACTACCCAACGATAAACAGCACCCCGATATTCAGAAGTTGAATCTCAATGTAGCCAAACTTGAAGAAGCCACCTTCGAGGCTCTATCAGGTTTCTTTGCTGACAAGGACAATCCGAATAACGCCAAAAAGAAGCCGTATTTGAAGGAGATATTCAAGGTTGTTCGATTCGAAGAAAGATTCAAGAATGGGGAGATCGGTAAGGGTCAACCAAACCTTCTCTGAGACCAATTGCTAACCTTCTTAGATGGCGATACAGAAGTCTATGTCATGGCAGACGACAAAATACCCGATTCCTACCAATCAGACAATGAAGACAGTGGATCGGCAGAAAAAGATGAGGAGGCAGACCCGACATCCATACAGTCCAGTCTCTCCCCACAGAAGACCGTTGCGCCGCACAGCGGCTTGATGCAAGTGGCGCCATCCGAGCAGAGTCCTGGCGGAAATATTCAGGGCGGTCCTTATATGGGTGAGCTCCCAGTCCGTGGTCCTCATTACCAGCCCCATATAATGCCGCCCGATCTTGGGTCCGGTCCACATGGTTTTGTAGAAGGAGGGAACATGGGCGTCAACAATGCACCCTCTTTGCAACCTGCAGGTAGCATGGGATTGCAAGAGGTCATTCCAGATCCGCATTCTCAGAGTCGCCGCCCATCGCTCTTCAATTCTCCACAGGATTATGGAAACCCTTCTGCACCGGGTATGTATCCAGCCTGGCAGCAGGCCACCACAGCTCCAGGCAACTCTCCGATGTATGCCTTCACCCCACAACAGCCTCAGCCGCCTCAGCAAGGGCCCTTTGTGCAACAGCAGCCAATGCAGATACAGAATCAGCAATTCATGGGCCAATCTTTCGATAGTCTACCACGCGGCTCATATGACCCAAACCAGGGTGATATGTTTCGGCCTGGCAACGTTGGGTCTGCAACAGTGCCACATTCTCAGACATTTCCTAGTTACATACCCCATGATGGCCGAGGGGGTATCAAGCTCGAAACGTTAGGACGGAACCATCTTCATTGATATGGTCTCGCACCCTTCACCTACAGAACATAATCGATTGAATGAGCAGCCGGCGGAAATCTGTCCCTTCCTATTAGGTTTGGCTCATTTCTTTCGACACAAAATCGACATAGGCTTCACAGCCCTGATTACCACTACATTACGATATCATGACAATTTTGCTTTCGGTATAGAAGGTATAGTGGGTGGCTGGTTAGAAACAGGATAACCAACCGCTGATTTACCTATCGCGTATACTCTAATAATACGGGCATCCCGGCGGATGACTCTTCTTCCACATCACATGCGACACTCTGGATCGCCACCGAATACCTGGCACCGAGGTCAAGGAGCATATGAGTGGCCCGGGTCAAACCAAAATTGCCTTCGGGGAGTCAGCACCATGGCAGGCTGTCTGCGCGTTCAATGCCTTTTCATAACTTCTGGACATTTCGGGCGGCCCACAAGTTTGTTGCATCTTTTTCGCATACAGAAAAGAAAAGTTGGGGAAAGACCTGCTTTGACGCATTTAAAGCGGAGGCAGAGAAGGCTGGCGGAGACATACCTTCACGCAGCAGGAGTTGAGCGGATGCGGCGATTTCTCGGCCTCCTTTAATCAAAATTTTCGATATCCAGAAGCCCTGGAGCGGCTTCATGTTTACGCATTTTCTATGGAAATAATTCCATTTACCTGTTGTCGTGGCATATCATGATGTCTCCATCTCAACTCTTTTTGGGAAGTCCGGTCTATCATTCCTGACATCGCTGTTACGTCTGTCATTGGCGCGGAGTCTCTGAGGTATATTGTACGGGTGGATGGCCCTCAAGTTAATACTCTTGAGGGCTGGGCTCGTCATCACTATCTGATCTAGGGCAGATACCTGTTATCTATCCTTGCAACTGTTGCCGCTTGATCCTGTTCACCCATACATAACGGTATATTATTGCTTACTCCTCCTCCACCACTTCCAACCCTCTTGTCTTTGTTTCTTTCTCCTCTTGAACAGCCTGGCGCATGGGATGACAGGGACTTCTGCTCCATTGGTGGTTGACGGCCTTCTAAGGCGTTGGGATGGATGATACAGGGAATTAGCAGTGGGTTTCACGGGAAATTGTTTACTTGAAAGTTTACTGCTTGGGGCGCCGCTGTTGCTTGTGAACTATTCTGGGATGATCACTCCGTTGATTCTCGGCGCAACGGCGCAAGAGGCTTGCGTTGCAGGGCAGCGAGTACTTTGGTGGCAGCCTGCATGTCAAAGGAATTGGACCGGTGATCTTAGGGGCCTAGGCGTGGGTTGATAGCTGGAGACAGCGCCACCCCTACGCTGAAAGTCAAACAATTGATTGGATACATGTGAGATATGATGCCTCAGATAGCCTCAAAGGTCTAATACGTGCGCTATTTGAACGATTGCTACTGCTCCCATCGTTGATGTGGCCTGTTGCTGTACCCCTAGCTGCCAAATAATGAAAGCGCACCCTATGTTGATTAGCTCCTGGGAGATACCACCATGAACAGGGCGCATAGATTATTAGAGTGATTACGGTATGCGGAGGAGGTTGGGATGCCCGGATGATTTTTTCGACGAGCAATGTCCATTGATGCAGTCCAGCATATGCCGGGGCTATGCTCGTTGCTTGTTCCCACCACTTGACTCCTTCTTTGTTCTATATTTTCAGCCTCTTCATTTCACGGGAGCTATTAGCAGGCTAAATGGTCTAGCCACGGACCAAGGGACACTTGAGGAAGCCTCTTGCATCATCTGCTAGGGCTTAGTCCGGGGGTCGGCATCAGGGACGTTGCTTCTTGCGATGGCCTGTAAGCCTAGATGGCAATCTGCTGTGGCCTAGGCAAGTGGCAATCGCACACGGCTGAATCTTCAACGGGGTCTGGACCCCTTGCTCTGGGCCTCTGGATTATGCAACATGTCCCTGGTCATGCCACTTGGGACCGTGAAGTAGAACTGAGTATATGTACAGTGGATATTGAACGCCATCCGCACTGAGAGTATGTCGGCCATGTTTGCCAACGAACGACGTCTGAAGACCGACCTGTCACTTGTCAGATGGGCCGGATACTGGCAGCACCCTCTAATTTCGACCCGGCTGCCGCGACTCAAGACACCCCGTTTGAGGCAGAAAGGCAGGACTCGCGAACCCGGTGAGCCATGTCTCCACGCGCTGCCTCGCCTCGCCTCGCCTCGGCCGAGTTCTGCTGGATTCATGTCATGCTATGCAGGTTCCCGGCAGATCGCTCAGGTGAGCTGCCGACAGGGACGGATCCGCGGCGAGATTGATCCAGAGTCTGGCGAGAGCTGGTCGGGATCGGTCCGTAATGCGCGGGAGTCTTTCTTGCGCTGACTTTTCTTTTATATCTCAAATATGACAGATACGAGACAAGGTTAGGCATCCAGTGCCCTCCGTCTTCGAGTGCTTTACTCACATGTTTTGCTAGTATGATAGTAGAGTGTCTGGCTTCTGTGATGATGTATGTGAGTGTTCGACTCGGATCTTAGAGAAACCAGTCGCTATGGATCGATCATTGCACGTAGGAAGTATCGTCATGTTATGCCCTCCTCGTCTACTTGCTAGCGTTGTAAAACAATCACCATGAGCTCGTCTATAATCTTGGCGACGAGGAATGTGATTGAATAACAACTATTGTACCTCCCGTAGGGCTCATCATTAATTATGGTTCTTGTGAGGGGTTCATGTGTCGAGATCTGAAGATGATACGCAAAATCCATTATCGTTAGACACTGCAAGCTGGAATCATTGGTGGTTTGAGTATACATATACCCCAGCTAGGCAAAAGAAGAGAATCATCGCCTTGAGATCCCCTATTATCCAAACGCAACTCTACAACATTCAAACAAGGGACTTTCTCTGAATATTTCGACTCGAGTCACAAGTAGTCATCAAAAATACTTGACTTAAAAATAGAGCAGTGTTTTTTGGGTGATATCACGCTGCTGTGGCGTCAATACGCACAAAGAGTCCCATCCCCTTTAGCCATTCAAGTAGTCGATGACTCTTGTGGGCTCTTCAATACCATTCCTCAAAGTTTGTATGCCTTGTAAGGTTCTCAACTTCAGATAATCTATCTCCCAAAGCAATTGACTTCAGGTATATTGATGGTGCCGTTGAACAACTAATCCTCATAAGAACGGTATACCTACCAGCAACCAGTATTGTTAGCCGAGGCAATGAAACTAGTCCATCGTTCCCATTGATCTACTCAACCAAAGATCTTCGCCTTGTGGTGATATTGCAACTACAATTAAGGGCTAGTCTGGCTGTTCAAGATAGGCAAGAGCTCTGCTGCTACTCTATTCCCTGGTTCGCACTATCCTTGTTGCTCCCAAAACAACTCAATCCGGGCCGTTGAAATTTGCGATGTTCAACCAGTAATATAACTCGGCAATTTATCAGCCTTTCAATCAGAGTCATCGTCGTCGTCATCATCTGAATCAGAGTCACGCCGACGCTTTTTGGAGACTGGTTTTGGAACGTCGTCTTTTCGCACGAAGACATAGCTCCGAGACAAGCGATCCTCACCTTTCCAGCCGCCGCCGGTCTCGCCGTGCTTGTTTTTCACGACACCTAAGGTTCGGGCATGGTGATAGCCGGGGTAGGCCGAGGCCTGAAAGCGGAAGCTTCTCTCCACCTGGAGGCCGGAATGCCGGCCCAGGTCGCGGATGTTCCAGAGCGTGTAAGGCTCGCCCTCGAACAAAGTAATGATGATGGTGCCACCAGGGGCAAGCGATAGCAATGCACGCTTGAAGAAGTCAACCAACAACTCTTGGTTATACCGGACCTGACGATTCACGTCTGTACTCTTGCCGCCAACGTGAGGAAAGTTGAAAACTGTTATCAATCATCAAAATTGAGTCCCTCAACACGAACAAGGGAATCTGAAGAGAACAACTCACTGATCCTGTCCATGCGGCCTATGGACTCCTTGCCCTTCTTTTGGGCCCATGGACCCATCTTGCGCGCATCGACCCCGTACGTTACTTTGCCACCCTCGGCCTCGATCTTCTCAACATTTTCGGCAACATACGGATACTTTTCCGTCAGCTCTCCCAGATTGGCTTCTAGAACAGTAGCTGTGAGGTTGTCACCGCAACCGTGGTGCTCGATCAGCGAGGCGGCAAAGCTCAGATCGCCATCGCCAACCAGGAGAATCGAGTCCTCTGCTGAGAAGGGAATTATTGGCTCCACGTTTTGCTGAGGCTGATTCTTGGACTTTGAGGCTTTGGATGAAGGCGAGCCTTTCACTTCCTTCGCTTTGCCCTTATTTGCTTGGCCAGACGAGGGCTTTGAAGGCCTCTGGCCGTGGTGCTGGAACTTTCTCTTTTTGCCCATGGCGACTTATACGGAACCTGTGCAAATCCTTTTGCTCCACCTACTGAACCACTGAGAACTAATTCAAAAGAACCAGGGAACGAATCAGCCCTTTTAAACCCCCAGCTGCAGCGGCGTCTGTCTTACATCAACACCGTGGCATAGCGGCAGCTGCACGACATTAATATAAGGCGAAGTAAGGCAGAGAGGTCATCAGGAGAAGGGTAGGATTGTATGGCTGGATGGACGGAGGCATGAATTACTTACTCTGCCGCCTCGGCATCGCCCGCTGGTTCTGGGAAAGACCAACGCTAGACTGGTTTCGGTAGCGTGGGCAATTTTGGGTGGGGCGGCGGTCCCTTCGCTTGCCTTGCTTGGCTGCTTGGGCCGGGGTCTGGCAAATCTCGATACTCAGCGCGCAATTACACCCTCCCCCATCGCAGACGAGATCACGTCTTTTGCAAATCCAAGCATACCAGTCTGCGGTTGTTCAGCAGTCATACCCTTCTGAAACATTTGTAAATCTATTCAGCGGACGCTAGCCGTTTGTTCAGCACGTCTATCTCTTCTGCTAGCCATCATCAGGCAAATTTTCACTTACACGGGTGTCTCGTGCCGTGTGGACGACTACACAGGACAGTTTTACCAAGCCAGAATTGGAACGAGACAATACCACATAACCGAAACCAGGACAATAGGCAGCTCTTGAGCCATTTGTCTCATTGGGACTGACTCGATACCTGGAAGCACAACTCAATGACTTCAGAACCGTACAATCAATCATAATCATCTCTGATAGTGATCGGCTGCTGGTAAAAAAAACACTCCCAATCCGTCTTAATCAGCCATCAACTTTTCGCCCAACCAGCAAAATCAGCTCTTCCTACCGGCGTATAGGACAAACTTGCAATCCTCGGATTACCCTATTGTCACTTCATCAGCACAATTTCCATCATCTGCTGTGAAAGCAGGCGACTGAGATACCTGTCGCCTCCAGCCCTCAGTAAGCCTTTGGTGCGTTCTCATTGGCTGACCTGCCAGACGCTGCCGTTTCCTGATTGGCTGCCCTTCTTCCTTAGGAGTGGCTCAAGCCATAATACAACTAAAACCAGACAACAATAATTGCGAGTATCATCGCCATCATCCATCAGACTGACAATAGCAGGACAGTAAACTCGGCGGCCTATTGTGCGAGAGATTCTCCCATCAATAGGCATTCATTCTATTGTTCAGATTTGTCTCCCACACCAATCGCCACGCCTCCTCGCGCCGGCGAAAATATTTATTCTACGCCGTCTCATCCGTTGCCCTCAGTTTTCACCTTCAACAGCTGTCTGCACCCTCACTTCTCCTACACCCACATCACGGAAAATTTCCTCCACTCCCTTCAGACTTCATCTTCAATCTTCATACATTAGAGGAGTCTACGACCATCTCAATTTATTCATCTGTTGCGACTGTGCGGATCGTAGACTCATCAGTCTTCTGCGTCTTACGCACCTTACCTTATCACCTTCCACTCATCTGTCCTCTCACATCAACGTATGGCATCATGAGCGACAACAACAGTAATCACCCCAGTCCTCCCCGCAGCACCCGCGGCAGAGGTCGCGGCCGTGGCCGTGGCCGTGGAGGAGGCTTGACTACCAGAGATGGAGTCAAGAAAGCGCCTGGCACAGGTCGACGTGGCCGCCAAAAGGTGTATGAGAGCTCCCGAGTCCAAGCCGCTCACGAGCGTCAGCGCGACATCAAGGCCGCGTATAATCAAGTCGCAACCGCAGTCCGCGCAGCACTTGAGGATCTCGCAGACAGAAATCTTAATGCAATGAAGAAGGACCCTGTGGCTCATGAGAAAGTCGCCGAGTTCCAGCAAGTTACCGATTTTCTTGATCAGCGTTTGAAGGATCGGCAGTCGGAGCTTACCACAGAGCTCAACGAAAACATCGCAACGCACAACCACGAATGGAATGCCAAGAATGAATACCTCCGCGGCGCATTCAAAGTATGTCTAACTTGATCATTGATGTTTCTTTTTGATGGCCTTTTGACTAATTCTTACTTTCAAATTAGCGCTCATGGGACGATGCTACTGAGGACTTTTATGATGCCCAGCTTCGTCGCCTTGATATCCTGCAGGAGTTATACAACAAGAGAGAGCCAGTTACCGTAAGTCACTTCATTTGATTCTAGTTTTATGATTATTCGGATACTGATATTTGCCAGAAATTGGATGACAGCTTCGCCTTCCGAGAGATCTCTGAGGAGCAAGTTGCTAACAATGGCCCTTACCGCGTCGTCCGTGATGGCATTGAGATCCCTTTTCCTGATATCTCTTCTGATGCGCCTGGTGTGCCCAAGAAAGGCAGAATGCCCAGAACACCAAGTAAGAGAAAGGCAGACGGCGCTCCTGATGGCCAACCGACACCAAAACGTCCAGCTAGTGGCTTTGACGAGAACGAGGCTCCTGATGTTCCTCGTCATATCGGTGGTCTTCTCTCCGCCGTGGCGCCACCCGAAGACCCGGCTACTCCACCCGAGGATGCAGCGAGCGTGATTGACGACGATGAGCCGGCAGCTATTGAAGAGACAGCTGCCGCATCCGAAGATACTTCAGCTCCTGTTAAAATGATCACTTATTGGATCACAGATGACGAGAGCGAGGCGGAAGCAGATCAGGGCAAGAAGCAACCGGAAGCTGAAGAGCCCACTATCAAACCCTCGACTGACAACAGCACCCCCCTGCCTAATGACTCCTTACCCCAACAAGAGGCTGTGCCATCTGATCTTTCTTCACGGGTTGAGGCCCCTAAATCAAAGGACGCGCCGGAACCCAGACGCAAAGCACCCAAGAATCTAGCGGCTAAGAAGAGAGAAGCCAAAGAAAGAGCTGCACATATTGCGGAGCGTGTGGCGAGGCGACATGCCAAGAGAGCTGCTATGCGAGCTGCCAGGAATGAAGATTGGGCCACTCTTAGTCCCGAAGCCAAGAAGGAGATTTCGAGCAAATGCAAAGAAAGAGAAATCAAGTTCTTCATGCGCATTGACCAAGACCTTGACACCTTGGACGCTCTCCAAGATGAGGAGGACGAAGACGCTTTCGATGCAGAGTTTGAAAAATGGAAGAAGGGCAAGGAGAAGAAGAGAGACCCTGAGACGGGTGAGATCAAATGGGTCATCAAGACCAAGGAGAAGCGGTACAAGAAAGTCGAGGTTCCCCTTGTCTCAAAAACCACAATACCAGGCTTGCCGCATGGCGCAACCGAAGCGGACGAGTCGGACGTCCGTCTTGTGGATAAACGAGTGCGAGCCAACGACTATACCAACAATCGAATCATGCTCCCGAGTGTCTTCTGGTTCAAGCCGCATGAGATTGGATATCGAGATTCGACAAATGATAAGAGCAGGGGTGCTACGAGGGCCAAACGCGGTGCACTTCTAGATGGACCAAATTCTACCAGCATGCATGTTGATCGCACGCTTTGGAGCTACGATGCTACACAGTACGCCGACGGGGACCTCGATCAAGAAATGATCGAGAAACATCAACTTCACCCCAAGTACGGCCTCTTCCTTCGCGACTCTCGGAACCAAAGCGAGCCCCCGAAGCCTCACAACACTGGCAAGAAGCCAATTGCTCATGTCACAACAACTGGTCAAATTCTTCATACCTCTCGATCCGTTGGTCCAGACCGAGCTGAAGAGTATTTCCGGAAACGGGAGTTCCAGGACATGATCTTCGACTTTGCAAAGAAGGAAGACATTGCTAAAAAGGACCTTGAAGAGCCTAAGCTCTTGAGGCTACGTGAACTGCGTCGCGTCAAGCTTGAGCGTAAAGAAGATAAAGCCCGGGAGCAGGAGGATCTTGAGACGATCAACAATATCATCCAGACTCTCATCGCAGCTGCCGCCAGTTCCGACGAAGTGGAGAGTAAACCACGATCACCCGTTGTACAGCAACGGCGGGCTACTATCTCAAGGGAATATGATGCTGTCCGAGACATCTTCATGAACGCGGAGCCGGCCAGTCCAGCGCCTCTGGCGGCTCCGGCCGCTCCAGCGCCAGATACATCCAAGATGGATGTGCTCGCAGATACCGCGCTAGAGGCACCTCCTCCTCCCTCTATCATTACTACTCCAGGCATGCCACAGCCATCCAACATTCCACCCCGGCAACAGATTATGTTGCCAACAGACGGACCTGTTATCGATCCAAGACTTGATGGATCTCAGCCTATGCAATTCATACCCCAACAACCGGGAGATCATATCCAGCAGCCTCTACCCCTGGCTTATCCCGATCACATGCCACCTCGCGACCATGTGCAGGTGTATCAGCATCCTTCGAACCCTTATCCGCAACAGCAAGCTCCGCCTATTGACCGGGGACACCCCGATCCGATGATGGACCCACGTCTGCAGGATTCACAGCATCAAGCAGCGAATGTTGGACTGCAGCAACCAAATCACTTTTTCCGAATGGCATTGAACGATGCCCCTGATCAGGCTCCTCCACCGTCGCAGTATCAAGGCCAGTCCTACCATCCTCTTGCCCCTGCTCCACAGTATGGAGGCCCAGCACTGGCGCCGGCCCCAGCACCGAGACGTGGTGGACCACAGGATGCGTCTCCTGCACGCATTCCCTTTAGTAGGAATGCTAGTGGTGTCGATGAGAGAGAGCTGCCGCCTTTGAGACCATTCCGTGGTGCCGGCCAGCCCATCGGGCTAGCTGAGCCGGGCTTGCAGCAACAACCGCAACAACCTTTGGGAGCGCCTCCTGGTGGCCCTTACTACCCACCACCGCCTGCTATACAGAACGGATACGGTCCTGAGCCGGGACATCCCATGCCTATTGACACTGCACCTCCGCCTCCCGGACAGTATCAAGCGCAGCAATACCCACAACCATACCCGCTTTCACCGCCTCAATATGCGGTCGGCCCATACGGGCCATCTGGATCGGCAGGCTCGCCTCCTCCGAGCGCTGGCCGTTCTGGAGCCACTCCGCCGCCACGGAGAGGCGGGAGTGTGTCTTCAAACCCTCAGAACTCAAAGTACCCCAAGCTCGCGCCAGCACCCATCCCGGCACACCGACAATGGAACAACTCGGGGCCGGAGCTGAGAACCGTGCAGTACAACCCGCAAGAGACGATCCGCGACTACTCGGCCACCGTGCCGCCGCCCAGCCATGGGCCCACGCAGATTCGTGGTTGGGCTAATGTCACGGGCAGCAAGAAGCCGCGTGGCTCCAAGGCGGAGGGGCCGGCGGAGCAGGCGCTGCAGGCTCAGGAGGAGCCGAAGTAGGAGTCTGGCCCTCCCAGCCAGACTGGGGAGCCGGTTGCTCAACAACCGGCGACCCAGACTGGTCGTTATAGCCTGCGGCGTCGGCCCGCCAAGAAATATACGAGATAAAAAGAAATTTCAGAAAAAAAAATTGGAAGAGAGAGAAAGGGAAGAGGAGGAAGAAGGGGGAGAACGAAAACATGTTGTTCGAGTACATACCGTTTGCTTTCTTTGCTCTCGCTTCTGCCAGCGTTGTTTTTTATATATGTATACTATGTTGGACTATCTTGTGTGGTCGGACGGAGTTCAGGAAACCACAAAAGGGAACGGCCCGCCGCGCGAAGAGGGACGATGATACCCCCTTGCTTTTCAGTTTCTTCTTTCCTCGGCATATACAAGGGGAAGCATCTGCTGGCATAATCATCATCATCATCATCATCATAATCATTCTGCATGGACAGGACGGATGGACGGCAGGCAATGTCTTTGCTGCTGTCTGTGACCATAGGGGCGTCCTCTGAAGCCTGGACGTGGAGCATATTCAGCGAATTTACTACCCTGAATGGGAGTGTTCTATATAAACCAGTGTCCCATGTGTGCATGCAAGTTGGTAATAACGAGTTTACTTAGTATACTAGGGTACCGAGTCGGTGCCTGGTTACGCAGACACCACGCGGCCGGTAGGCTGGTTCGGCATACATAGACAAAGCCTTGACCATATATTTTGACGATAGATTCTCCTTGTCCTTAAATATGGTTATCATATGCTTTCTTTCTTTCAACACTTTGAGTGTCATTAGGAACTGATGTGACCCAATTGGTTCGAGCCTTAAGACATCTAAGGACGACAAGGGCCAAAATTGACAGCTCTGCCCCACCATCAATGACGTTTTGTTGGCCGTCGATAAGTCAAGTCGCGGAACAGACAACATGCCCAACACAGCTCAAGCTTCTCACACGACCACAATCCTCTTCTTCGCCCTGCTGCTCGTCGCCTTCTTCCCGGGAATCTTTCACTACCTCTGGACGCTCCCGCTGAGCCTCATCACACCGTCCTCCCTCTCGACACCTAGCTACTCCTCCTCCACCACAGACGGCAGATCCGCACCACCATTGAAGATGGGCTCCTGGTTCCAGAAGCAGTTCACCCTGCCCGCCAAGTCGCGCGGCTCGTACCTGATCACCGACACGGTCGTGCAGGCCCTGCCGGAGATCAGGTCGTACAAGGTCGGCCTGCTGAACCTGTTTGTGCAGCACACCAGCTGCGCGCTGAGCCTCAACGAGAACTGGGACGACGACGTCCGCGCCGACATGAGCGATGCGCTGGACCGGATAGCGCCCGAGGCGGGCCCCAAGGGCGAGGAGCTGTACCGCCACAGCGCCGAGGGCGCCGACGACATGCCGGTATGTCTGTGATTTGGCGCGGGCCGGGAAGATTGACGCTGACTGTGGGTGGGCAGGCGCATGTCAAGAGCGCATTGATCGGTGCGAGCGTTACCATCCCAATTAGAGATGGCAAACTTGCGACGGGTACATGGCAGGGTACGTTCCCAGTCTTACGGGCAACAAGTGTATACAACAAGCTGACGTATAACAGGCATTTGGTATCTCGAATTCAGGGCGAGCAAGCACCAGCGTCGCGTGGTAGCCACAATTCAAGGAGAGAGGGCTTAAAGGGGAAGCAAAAATCAGTTACGAGACGGGCAGAAGGCAGCAGGAAGCGAATAAGCACATCTATTCACAGGATGGGATTTATGCTAAATGTAAAGCCTCAACTCCAAACTTAGAAGACCTGATGATTTCCATACCAAACGCCATTGCCTGAAGCCAATCATTCTGACGGTCCATCATTGCTCCGTGCCGTTCTCGTTCTCCTCCTTCATGTTCACGTCATCGCCAGACAGGACCTTCGTCTTTGGTACGTAGCCGTCTGGTGCGCCCGCACCGGGAGTCGCCGCGACCACGTTGCCCTGCTCGTCGACGAATTCGAAGTTATACCGGCTGAGAAGATGGGGGATCGCGGAGAGCTGGGGGCCGTATCTCGCAGTGTTGTCGTAGAGCTCGAACAGCGGGACGGCTAGCAGCTTCATGTTCTTGGGCACACTAAGCACCTCTGCACCAGCACAGGTTAGTTCGTCTCGAGGACGCCATGGGAACCTTTGGCAAAAACTCACTTGACTTGGGGAGCTGAATGAAGTAGAGCTTTTTGCATTCCTTTGGCCTGGTGACATGCGCCGGCACGAACGGGTACATGAACGTCTCGAAGTTCGGTCGCCACCACTGCGCTAGGCAGTCACCCACCTGCCAGTCGCCGGCCTCCTCTCCCTCGCCCAGCCGGCCGACGGGGGCCAGCCGCTCGTCCAGCCGTGCCTTGAAGCCCTCTATCTCCCCGTCTTCAGGTCGCAAGTAGTCTCCAGGAAGCCTGACAAGAATAAGCCTGAGGTCCCACCGGCACGCCATATCATTTAAACCTACTTGAAGAAAGCATTGGCGATCTGAAGCATGAGGATGTGCGGGTGGTTGTGCTCATGGCATACTAGAATGCCCTCGCACGTCCGTCGCATGCCATGTACATTGTAGTGTTCCTCCAGTCGCTTCAGGCGCGCGAGCACCGACGGGTCCTCCTCCGGCTGCGTCTCCTTGACGCCAAAGGTGTAGTTGGAGAGTGGGAACAGGCGGATCGTCTCAGGTTGGTTACCGTTGAAGGGAAGGGGGATGACGGGCGGGTTGGAGGATTGAAGCGCCGTGTTGGTGACCGTCGACATGGTAGGCGCGACTTATGGATTATGCCGTAGAGAGGCAGGTGAGGGAATCAGGACCGAAGGGGAGTGTGAAGTCCCGCAAACTTGTGGCTGTTTGGTATGTGTATTGACTTGAAATGGGCCAGCCTCGGTGGTTCTCAGCCTTGGAGCTTGCCTTGGAGCACGGAGCTCAAGCTAAATTAGGCGGACAGGTATGGCAGTTCAGTACCAGTGCCAGGGGGAATGTGAACTCCCACAACACCGAGGCAGTATTTAAAACACTAATTCACTGAAAGATAGATACTTTTAAACGTCTGTAACATCTTGATGTATCCGTTTTCAATTGACAACTTAGTCGTGCTGAGATACGAGCCCTCAAGTTATAATAGACAAAGCTATAATCTGACATTCTCAATACCTGAACTCCAGTTGTAACATCTGGCCCTGCCATCAAGAACATTGCAGCAAGCAATTGAGTACGTTGTCTATTAGAATACAATTTACTCTAAACATTGGGAACACTGCCTCCTCTGTAGAAGATCCATCCTTCCTTCATTCCCTCCATCACCCTCTGGCAATCGCCCAGGGGCGTGGTCCCTTTGCGAAGTACTCCGCCAATTCCATTTGTACAAGTGTTTTCACTAAGGTATTTCCTTCCGATTCCATACGCGCCAAAATCACACTCACTGTCTCCTCGGTCACCTCTTATCAAACCACCAATCTGAACAGACGGTGCGAACTACTGACAGAAAAAACTTCTGTAAACACACCCCCATCATTCCGTTGTACGACATTCCAATCTCATTAGCTCTCATCATCACTCTGGGCAGCACTACTCGCGCCATTTGCATGATTCGCCGAGTTGTTGATGAGCTTGATTCGGGTAGGACCAGAGGAAGGCTGAGGAGTTCCTGCGCTGGTGGTTGGTGGAGCTGATGTGTCTTTCTGGGAAGAGTCTTCAAGATCATTCAACTCGGGATGCGCCTTGAGCTCCTCAGCAACTTTCTGACTGAAGAATGCCTGGGACCCGTTAGTCAGATGTAGAATCCAAGGGATTGAGTTTTCAACCATACCTCCATGGTGTTAGCATCAGAGTAGAGCAAGCTTCCATCCTCATTGTAGGTTCTGCAGTTGTTGCAAAGCAGGTCGATGTCCTTCTTCAGATCCTGAAGACTATTGTATTCCTCTTTCTTAATCTTGGCCTCGATCTGTTTCATGCAGATTGGGGTCTGAATGATAACATAGTAGTCACCATAGTCTCGCTTAGGAGGCAACTTGATGAATGGCCCAATGATGAGACGCTTGGGAGGCTCGTCATCGTCATCCTTGTTATCCTCTTCGGGATCTTCAGGCTCAGGATCATCGACCTCCAGCTTCATGAGGCTGTCATAGAGGTGTCGTAGACTAGACTGGAGCACAGTGCGGACGTGAGGATTGATCTTGCTCTCGCTTCCATTGACAGCCGCAACAGCCTTGGGGCGGCCCTGAGGTCCACGACGTTTCTTTGCCGGGGGCTCATCCTCGCCTTCCTCGGCCTTGCGCTTCTCATTCTTGCTGCCTGGTTTTCGACCTCGCTTTTTGACGGGCGTCTCCTGCTCCTCTGTGCTGGCACGGCTTGCAGTGGGAGACTCTACAGTTTCACCGGCAGCCAATCTCTTCAGACGGTTTGCCTCTCTCTTATCTTTCCGGGCTTGCTTTCTCGCAGCAGCAGCCTCCGGCGAGTCATCATCATCGTCAACCGCCATCAGCCACTGCTCCTCGGTAAGACCATCGTCATACCGAACCTTGGTCCTCTCACGAGCACCACGGCCGAGAATGGTCTCATTTTCTTCTTCGACTGCATTGCCCTCGGACAGGTAGATCTCCGGCAGCTCGTCCTCTCCCATCAGACGAGGGACGCTCTTGCAACCTGGTCTTGTTCCATAGATAGGGTCCTTGATTCTCTGCTCGTCAAGCTCTTGGAAAACGCCCATTTCATCTTCGCTACGGGCAAGAATCATATTTAATTCCTCGTCATCCATCTCTTCCTGCTCGCCTTGTTCAGCCATATCAGCAGTCTCCAGCAGCGTTCGAAGCATGGCATCACGATCGGTTTCAGAAGACTTATTATCGAAGCGGCCAGCTTGAATGACCTTGCCGTCCATGTCAAGCTTGAACCGGGCCCGCTCCAAAATCTTCTCCTCCACAGAATTCGAGCTAATCAACCGCAGGATACGCACTTCGTTCTTCTGACCAATACGATGGGCTCGATCCTGTGCCTGCAAATCTTGATGGGGATTCCAGTCCGAATCATAAATGATAACGGTATCTGCGGTTTGCAGATTAAGACCCAGGCCACCAGCACGGGTGGAGAGCAGGAACATGAAGTACGGAGAATCAGGCCTGTTAAATTCGCGCAGGAGCTCAGAACGATCTTCTGACTTGGTCGTACCATCCAGTCGAAGGTATGTGATTCCACGGTAGCGAAGGAAGTCTTCCATGATGTCCATAATCGCAGTCATCTGGAAGAACATGAGGACACGATGGCCAGTCGCCTTGTACTTAGGCAGGACGCGGTCGAGAAGCTCGAATTTGCCCGCAGTTCTCCACAACAGATCATTGCTGGTGTTTGTAGGGTTCATTTGGTTCTCGACCTCATCAAACACGAAAGGGTGGTTGCAGAGTTTTCGCAGCTGCATGATCATGTTGCTGAGACCGCGGGCACCTGTCTTGCCACCTTTACCATCGCTGACGACAAGTTTCTGGTGCGTGACCATCTGTTTGTAGAGACGGGATTGCAGTGCCGAGAACTTGCATTTGATGACTTTCTCCGTCTTGTCGGGCAGGTCTTTCTCGACATCCTTCTTGAGACGACGAAGCAGGAACGGTCGCAAGACCTTATGCAAACGACGAATGACAAGAATTTGTTCTTCCTCAGTAAGCTCCATCTTGTCCTGACCGCCTGTGTTTGCGAACGGCGTGTTGAACCATTCATCGAATGTCTTATTAGATTTGAAGATGTTGGGCAGTGTGAAGTTCAACATAGCCCACAGCTCACTCAAGTTATTCTGTAGCGGTGTACCTGTAAGAATCAGGCGGAAGCGAGTTGAGTAATGCTGCTGGATGGTGGCACTGAGCTTCGAGTTGGAGTTCTTCATACGGTGACCCTCATCAATGATCATGTGGAACCACTTGATCTTGCTAAGAATGGGGCGGTCCTTGATGATATACTCGTAGGTTGTCAGAAGAACTTGGAATTTGCCCATGCGAATTTTATCCTGTTGCTGCTTCCGGGCATTTGGCGGACCCTTGTAAACCACGCGGGTAACAGACGGGGCCCACTTCTCAAACTCGAGCGTCCAATTGGTGAGGGTACTGAGCGGAACAATGACCAAGTACGGCCCGTTCTGCTGCTTCCTCTCAATAAGGTAGGTGATCAAGCTGATTGTCTGGATAGTCTTGCCGAGGCCCATCTCGTCTGCAAGGATACCGTTGAGGTTGTTGTTGTAGAGCGAGATCATCCACTGGAGACCCTTGATCTGGTACTCCTTGAGCTTGCCACCGACCAGAATATTAGCTTGCTCCGTGACTTCTTCCTTGATACGATGTGCGACGGCATAGTAATCAATCTTGCGGCTTCCTTCCTCGTCCTCTTCGTCGACCTCGCTCTCCTCATCAGGATACTCTGCTCCCTCGTCTCCATAACGTTCTGCTGCAGCGCGTTGCTGCGCTTTGACTGATGCGGCAAGTTGGTACAAGAAACCATCGGTCTGCCTGAGAAGATGAGTAATGCGAGTATCCTTGGCCTGATCAAGGAGCTTGAGATAAGCCTCTTCATCGTTAGCCTTCAAAGCCTGGAGACGTTGCTTAGCATTACGCTCAATGCGCTTCTGCTCCTCCTTCTCAATGTTGAAGTGATGGTTATACATGAGGCGACCAAGTTTCTGCATCTTGTTCCGTTGGCCCTGAGCAGAATTGTGGATCTCGGCCTTGTGGTTGAGAATAGCATGCAGGAAGTCTGTATGCTTCTTCTTCTCCCGATTCTCACGAGCATCACGCTGCTGCTTCTCAAGCTTCTCAGTAATACGAGCTTCTCGGACACTCTGCTTCTTCATGCGACGGTACGAGCTTCTGTTGGTAGTCATCGCCAAGTTGTCATAATGCATCATCTGCCGCCCAATCCTGTCGCGCAGAGCTCGCTGTTTGGAATATAGAGCAATTGACTTCATCTCGATGATAGCCTTACGCTTCAAGGTGTCATCGGGGGCAAGAGCTTCCTTTGAAGTATCCCAATGGGCCAGGTTCCCGGGTTGGCTCTTCAACTCGCTATATCTCACGCTCATTCTGTTGAAAAGAATCTTCTCTCGGTCCGCCCTCAACTGGTCAAAGTCGATGCCCGAGGGAAAGACTCCTGGAATGAAAGGCCGGTGAGTCCTGCGCGTATGATCGAAATAGTTGATGTTCTTGAGCAGTAGCCTATCCGGCTCACTCCATGGTAGTTTAATAGACTTGATGAGGTGATCCATTGGCGGTCCTGACTTGGTCTGGCCTTCAGCATCTCCAGCATCTGCTCCAGTCTTTGTGGTATCCTGATTGCCTTGAGCGGTGGGTGTTGACGCGGTCTGAGACAGTTGCTGAGCAGCTGAAGCCTGGCGTCGTTGGCGCTGTGCAAATATCGCCTGTTGCATAGCAATAGGAACTCCGGCATTCTTGCTGAGGAACTTGAATGCCTGTATCTGCTGGCGTAGCAAAGCCAAGTGTTGTGGTGTGAAGTGCCCAGCGCCAGTGGCTGTTGGCGGAGCCGAACCACCGGTATTCGATGTAGCAGGAAGAGCAGATGCACCGAGAGCACCCGATGAAGGGGTCTGTGTTGTCTGGGCTGCAGATTGCTGAGAGTTCTGGGTAGGTTGGGCTCCGTTTGGAGCGCCGCCTCCTTGTGCTTGTTGCGCCTGCTTCTGCTGCTGCATGAAAGCATTCTGCTGCTTCCTAAGGGCTTGCGCTTGTTGAAAATTCATCAAGAAGGCTGAAATTCGTTGATATTCGTGATCGGTCTGGGGAACGCCCTTTTCCTTCATCTGTCGCAATTTCTGAGTGTTGTTAGCATCTCAACTGGGAAAGACATCGAGTCTTGTAAATGATCATTAGACTACGAACCATGAATGCCTCCTGCACTTGTTGCTGGGTTGTGCCAGCAGGTATCCCCGTGCCGGGATGCTGGACAGCGGGTGGCGCCTGAACAGTAGCCATGATGCCGGTTGTGCCAATGTCCTGTATGTTCTATGACCGATGATGATGTTCCCAGGACAGTAATCAATTGCAACGCATATCCGGTGAACGAAGGTGGTATGGCGCGGTCCTCGTCAAGGTATTAGGGGGTTGTCGCGCCAGGACAGAGCCTCGCAAAAGAATGACTAGCAAGGGAGACAATCGAAGTCGGAAAAAAACAATACGCCGTCGCGTAGTCGCGGAAGGACGGAGGTCGAAGGGTGGGGATGCGCCGGGGCGGAGGCGGAGGATGGTCGTTGTGGGATGGGGATGCACGAAGCTCGGTCGCGTTGAACAGCCTCAGTGTTAGGGGAGGTTGTTCGGCTGGCGAAGGTTGGCGCCTTGCGATGGGAGCTGCTGGTCTATGTGTGGGGGATTGAAATGAAGGCAAAGGCTGCAGTGCAGGGCCGATGCAGAAAAAAAGAGAATGAGGGCTGAAGGGGGCGCGAGTGGCCAGTCCTCGGGGCCGATGCGCGTGGAAATCGCGTGCAAATCAATTTGCCGGACGTTTTGAGATGGTCTCGACGGTTTTTTTGATGCGCGCGTCCCTCTTTGATGGAGGAGAGGTGAATGTCCAAGGAATTCGTGAGCGGCCGTGGTTGGAGCGAACAGACTGGGAACAGCACAGCGGCGTAAAGCTGATCACGCTGACCACCCCCAAAAAGTGGGCCTCAGGCGCTAACGGATTTACATTCGCTCCGAGCCAGGCAGCCTTTCTCCAATCCGGCCACCTCACCGGCCACCTCACTATCCCTGTTCCGGCATAACCCTATTCTCCCCCCCTGACACGAGCTGGGTAGGTAAGGTACGCGATTTGCAGGTTGGCCTGAGTCGGCAAGCTGGTGTCAATGCAAGCAAGTAATTATTACCGTAATGCAGTAGAATAGAACATCAAGCTTATCATTTTGGTATCGTAGTACATATCAGTTTTTCCTATATCCCCCACCACGAAGTACGCCCTGAACGCCAATCGCATCCACCACCTGCAACTCTGCAATTCTGAGATTTATCACAGCTTGGTTCAGATCCAAATACGTATGCCGCTAATATTGTAGCCACTTCACCTCTTGGCTCTCTTCTTATCTGGTCCTTCCTCCTCCTCATCGCTGATATCTGCATACTGGGTAACTGGCTGTGTAGTCTTCCAAGCACCCGTGAACATCGGGTCTTTCTTTGCAACGTCTGCATATTTCAGCAGAGCTTCTCTTGGATCTTCGTGAAGCATGCGACTGAGCGGGATATTCTCCTCAATGTGTTTCTCGTCCGGCTGGCTTCTCATGAACGGTGTCTGCAGCGGCATCTGAGGCCGTCGAGGATCTCTTGATTTGCCTGACGCTGTCACTCCAGTCCTCTTCTGTCCAGGCATACTACCGGGGGTTATGATAGAGTCGCCAGACATTCCGAGACTCTGGTCCATGGTGAGTGCTGGATTATCGTCAATATGCCGCTTCTTCGGAGCTCGCGACATGACCTCAACAGCTCCCCTTGACGACATGGTGGGATTGTAGAGTACATGGGTTTCTGCATTCGCAGAGCCCGTGACGATTTGGTTTATTTTTGGATGCCAATCTACCACAATCAGAGGAGCGCCCGGTGTGATAGAGGTGACATGCTCTGCCCTTAGGTTTCCGGGATTCAGAATGTGAAGATGGCCAGAGGCAGATCCAGTGATTATACTGGTAGAATTTGGCGCGTATTTGATGTTGCTTGTGGCAAATCTGTCTGAGGTCGAGGGGTGAGAAACCGTCACCAGAGGCTCCTTGAATTTGCGTGTATCCCACAGTTTGATCAAGCCATCGCCGCCTTTCGTAACCACCATTCGACCATCGGAGCTAATGTCGATTCCTCCTGTCCAGGTGTCGGGTTTGTGTGCTTCTCGAATTTCTGCCGATGGTCGGGTGAATGGCCCATTGCCTCCATACATCACCAGAGATCCGTCCAATGCGGCTGCAACAAGCACATTGTTACCACCCTGTACCGGTGTACCCCATGCAACTGCCGTCATCCTTGTTCGACCCGCCGACCCTGCGGCTTTTGATTTGACCACGATGACCTCCTTCTGGCTCCGCTTGTTATTTATGTCCCATATTCGCAACGTACTGTCAGTTCCTGCCGTGACACAGACATTCTTGTCAGTAGGATGCCACGTGCCTGTCGTGATCTCTGAAACATGGCCCTTGGTGTTGTGCATATCTCTTAGGTACATATCACCTTTAACAAATTCGGTAAGGATGTCCCCGTCTCTGGACAGGATCTTCGCTTGTGGGTGCGCCGCAACGCATAGGAACACGCCGCCAGAAAGAGGGTTGAATTGAACCAAATTGATAGGATGTGATTCTGCAGAAGCAGCGGAGGCTTTCGTTTCGTAGGGGTCGACGGTCTTGAATGCGCGCAGGGTGGTCGGTGTCATGGACGCGAAGTCATGCAGCTTGATAGTGCCATCGAGAGAAGCCGATGCCAGTCTTGATCCCGCCGGATCTAGTGAGACGCTTGTTACGGCTCTCTCGTGCGTCTTCAGAACCAGCTCGTGGGATACGGGGTATTCATCTTCGTCGTCAGACTCATCCGAGTCATCGTCGCTGTCCTCATCAGAACCAGACTTTGAGTCTTCGGACTTCACCTCGTGTTTCACCTGTGGTGCTTGTGGCTTTTCCACAGCTCTTTTGCTGCGATCGATCTGAGCAGCGATATCTGCCTCCTTCGACTTCTTCCCAAAGGATGATGGCAGGAACGCGCGCATCGGATCGTCGTCCGCAAGAACGGGTTCTTCAACCACAAACTCTTCGCTATCGCTCATCCTTGGCGTCTTTCCCAGATCAATGGCTGTGGCTATGGGTTATGAATTACCGGAGGCTATGAGGCACAGGAAAGAATTTGGCGGGATCGTAGGTCGTGTAGGTCGTGTAGGTCGTGTACGGACAATATGTGTCCCTTCAGTAGGGTTTCGAGTTGTGGGTGTTTAAGTCTAATGGCATCACATTAAACAGCTGAACTGTAGCTCTAACAGTCAAGAACTGGCGGAACAGGGCGGGGCGGTAAAATTGTTACTGCAACTGCCCCAACGTTGTACTGTAAGTTAATTCTCGGCTCCCCAGATTTTTAGATCTGCACCTTCCGGAAACTCCAGCAGATCGCTGTGCAAGAAAAAATTTAACTTTACTCCTTGTTATGTCGTCATAGGTAGAATCAGTTAACGTGATCCTCATTATTCAAAAACAACACAACTCGTCACACTATCACTTTCCCCTCCACATTTGTTTACTTCAAGTCAGTCACGTGAAGCTCTTCTCACCCAAAATAAGACAAGGACTACCATGCTAATATAGTCTACCATTCTCTGATTTCACCTCCAGGCCCAAAGAAACCTGGATTTGTCCAAGCCTTCTTTCCCTCCAGTGTCTTGGCCATAGCACGGACTTGCTCTTCGTCAACCTCGATTCCTAGCCCAGGTCCATCAAGGATCTTGATGTATCCTTCTGTAGGCTGCCAAACCTCGGGGTTCTTTGTATAGCTCGTCAGGTCGGCCCCTTCGTTGTAGTGAATACCCAAACTCATTTCCTGAATCGCAAAGTTTGGAATGACAGTATCAACTTGCACACTTGCGGCTAAAGCGATAGGGCCAAGAGGCGAGTGAGGTGCAATAGCAACATCATAAGTCTCTGCCATTGCTGCAATTCTGCGAAGCTCGGAAATCCCTCCACAGTGAGCAATGTCTGGCTGCAATATGTCGATGCAATTTGCCTCAAGGAACGGGCGCACATCCCAACGGCTATGTAGCCGCTCGCCGAGAGCGATGGGGATCGAGGTCTTTTCCGAAAGAGCTTTAATTCCTCCTGGATGCTCAGAGAGCAGAGGTTCCTCAATGAACATTGGCTGATGAGGTTCGAGAGCCTTTGCTAGCTGTGCCGCCATCGGTTTGTGCACTCGGCCGTGGAAGTCAACTCCTGCGTCCATACCTAGTTCCTTGACTGTCTTGAGGCGCTGGACAGAGCTATGGAGTGCCGCTGGGCTGTCTAACCACCCGAGATCTTCCGTGCCGTTCATTTTCACGGAAAGAAATCCCTGTGCCTTTCTCGTCTTCCTTTGTGTGCGTTAGCACTGTAGTAGGAGAATATAACTGTAAACATCACTTACACTGCTTCAGCAACCTCATTAGGTCTGTCACCACCAATCCACGCGTACACCTTGATCTTGTCCCGTACCTTGCCTCCGAGGAGTTGATAGATGGGAACGCCGAGTTTTCGAGCTTTTTGCTGGGTGTAAGCCATCAAACCATAACAATTCTGGATATTTATGGTATCTCACCCTTTAGATCCCATAACGCAATGTCAATGCCAGCCAATGCGCTCATAAACACAGGTCCACTTCGATAGAATCCCATTCGCCATGACATCTGCCAGATATGTTCAATATCACCGTTGAAGTGTCAGTAATATTTACCTAGTTCAGTGTTTCTCCAAAGTGCTGCAGACTCACTCGGCTTCCAGACCGGTGTACCGATCCCTCCAAGCATCAAGGCACCCCTCGACAGCCTGAGTGTGCCCCTCTAAAGTAGCCTCTCCCCAGCCGACATTACCTTGCTCGTCTGTGATTTTGACAAACAGCCAGCGCGGTGGAACTCGGAAATATTCCAAACTTGCAATCTTGCCCATTTTCAAGGTGTGAGGATAAATTAAGCTTAATTATGAATACTGTAATATTAAGCTCCAAAGACTATACATGCGACGAAAGCAATTGACGATGCTGAATACCCAGTGTCTCAGTACTACCGGAAATGCGTGAGGATGCAAAATCAGTCGACGTGCCAGTATTACTGCCGAATTGAACGACAAGGGAGGCACTTATAAGTCTTCTGTAAGAACAATTGGAGGTTTTCGTCGCATGACGTTTCACTGGTCTCGCTGGCCCATAAGTGCTTTGCGTCGGTGCAGCTTTGGCCCGGACGTCGCCCCGATACCGGGTCGGCAGGGAACACGGAAATGGGATGGGACTCGGATAAGCAAAACGGAAGCTTCGGGTCCCAGATGCAAAAATAAACAACTTGCAAAGAAATGGAAAAACATTATGCTTAATTTTTGCGCCCACGATAGGGTTCGACCTATCACGCGGACGACGCAGCAACTTTCAAGTGATGTATCTGAAATGCAAACTGAGCAAGCCGTTCTTGGACAGCAACAGACTAGTTGATACAAAGCGAAAAAGGCCATTTAATCACCGCGATGTGAAGCGTTTTGGGGGTTCTTTTACAAGAGTCTGAACAGTCTAGTTGTAGTCTTACTTCTAAATAAGAAGTCTTGAGATGAAATCGAGCTATTCTGATGAAGAAGCAAAAGTAGAACTCAACTTTGCGGAAACAATTATAGTGAGCACAACTAAGCGTGAAGTGTTATGCCGCTGCACTAACCCGCTGAGACTCTTCCATGCGCTTCAACTCTTCTTCCTTCATGCGGGCTTGGACCCTAACCCTCTCCGGGATAACCCTTTCTCTTGGTCTAGTTATCTTCCATTCTTTGAGATTTGTTTTGCCAAGAGCTCGCAATGTAGTGAGCTCCACAAGGCTGTAGTTTCCATCTTCCCTATAATACTCAAAGGGGGATTTGAGTGATACCGGAGGGTTTGTAATGATTCGGACATTTCGCAGCGCATTGCTGGTTGCGGAGTGCAACATGAGAGGATGAAGCAAGAAGACATCTCCCGTCTTGCCATGGGCTTCGACAAAATTGCTGTTGCTCTTGGCAAGGTTATTGAACCACGCGAGGTTCTTCTCCTTTGTGAAGTCTTCGTGCACCCGTGGGACCATTCGAGGGGAGACGCCCTCAGGGTGATCGTGTAAATGCTAATGCCACATATCAGTCAAGGAATATCAGCCCACGATAGAGATTTTTACTGAGTTGCTCGATATTTGTATCGGAAATGTCAGGGCCCATAATTCACTGACCTTTGCAACTGTAGGTATAGCTTCTGGACAAATCATTGTGCCTCCTCCCTCAGGCATAATATCTGTAAACAAAGGAATCACAAGTAGTCCTTGCTCAGGGCTGTCGAGGTAGTGCACGAAAAAGTCACCGTCAACATGCCAACCTTGGAGGTCCTGCGGCGGAACCGGTTTCCCTTCGCCTTCAGCACTGCCAAGGTTGACGATAAGTGAGTCTTTCCATAACCTCGACTCGGGAGTAATACGTTCCTCGCCTCCGCAAAGTTCACAGATGGCAGCCCAGGCTCGTGGCGCAAACTTGGCAGCATCAAACGTCCTGTGATGTGGCATGTTGGTCCTGACAGAAGTCCACGTACTTTTATCAGTCGGTGACATCCCTAGTCGGGTCCAGACGCCTTCTGTAACCTCATCTGCTTGCTGTTTCGTGAAGGCACTAGGTATTCTGGTGTGATGGTCAGAGATAAATCATATGGGCTACAAGGACGCAACAGCTCGCAGCGAGAAAACTTACTTGAGCCAGCCATGGGCGAGAAAGTGTTCTTTCTCGGTCTCTGTAAGAACTGACGCCATTTGAAAGGTTGATCTAATTGACGATCGATCTGTCAATTGAGAGAACTATATGCGGTTCAACTGTATTCATGAAGACCTAGTTAGCAAATGCAGGGCAATAATTGTTTTCTGAAGCGCAGTATCAGGCAAGGCCTACTACAGCATATTTATGCTTGGGCATGATCACTTACACGCCCTTCTAATCAACTGCCCGCTGCAGCTGCACTTCGGACGTGGATCGGCCACAATGGAGTGGGACATTGGAGAGACCATGCGGAGAAAGCAGCAACTGGTCATGATCTATTTATCCAGTCCTTTCCATTGGGCAACTGCCTATGTGATCAGTTTAGAAACGCTAGTTGACTTTTGCACCTGTCATCATTTTATAGGTACCGAACCCGGGCGCCGACTTACAACCGGGGGCGGGGTTGCTAGTGCCACACGGGGCTTGCGGAGAGTCGCCGGATGGCCAGGGAATTCGAGGGTCTACTGACGAAAAGGGCCAAGTGTCCTGGATAAATTGCTTTCGTGGCTCGACGTGTTGGGATCTAGATATCCATTGGTCTTGGAGTGATAGGACGGCAACATTGACCAGAGAGGCTTATCAAGCACTATAGTTTTCTGAAAAGCTGTCGATGGTGGGTGATGTGGCCTCAAATAAGCGAAGCCATGCTATGCGATGCGAGATAACTTTTGACAGTATCCCCTTGTCCATAAGAGCTGAAGCCATTTGACTAAACATTCTAATTTACTGCAATTATAAGTATTAGTATTGCTGATCTAATATCTTGCACCTTGACTTGTCCCGATTGCATCCAGTAATTCGTGTGCTGCTGAAGAACCACCCATAGTGGGTAGCTTACAATACTACAACACTAAAGCATTTTCCGGCTAGTTGACTTTGATTTAGCAGGCAAAATAAGCGAAAAATTACTCCATTGATAGTCGCGTGGTCTAATGGTTATGATTTCTCGTTCACAGAGATGTGTACTTGGCTCTTGCCTCCCGAGAAGGTTCCGTGTTCGATCCACGGCGTGACTAGCTTTTTGCCTCTCTCTGCACTTGCGTAGAATCCATCTGAAATTGATACGGTGCAAATGGCTTTCCCCTTTTGACTACATAGATTCAGTGCTACATCATCTGAAAAACGACGAGTTGGGACTCTGATTATCTGAAGAGCGATTAAGTGTGGCTTAGAAGCTTACGCAGGAGAGACAATGACCTGTCATAGCCTGTAGATGATTGAGCATCGCGCTCCTGACGAGCCGGCTTCAATGCAAAACCCAACAAATGTCATGCAAGAGCCAGAATCCATCTGAGTTATATTTATCAGTTCTGTTCTCAGGGGCTTATACGATGGACGAATAGGGGTGTCACATGAGGTCACACGTGGAGCAGGACAGGTCTCTTTGTAGGGGGTTCTCGAAAGCGTGGTTAGGTAATTGGAAGGAGGGGCCGAACGAGGCGCAGGCATTCCAGGTTCTCTGGCAGTTTCAAGGCTCAGTAGCGGCGGGCAGGTAGAGACGAGGCCGGCCCGTTCAAAGCAAGCAGCCTGCAGGGACACACACTCTACACTACCTATCTTGCGACAGCCTTTTTCCATTTCACATACCCTGCTTTGTCCATCGTCTTTCTTCTCTGCGGCGTCTTTCCCAAGGATCGAGAGCACGGCATTGGGCACATCGTTTCATTTTCAATACAGCTCAACAAACACACCCGCACTCGCGCAGAGTACAAGCCATGGCCGGCCGATTCGTGCGAGCGTCGAAGTATCGTAAGCTCCGCACCATAGCTCCGCGAAGCATTGCGCCCGGACTGACCATGACGCAGGACATGTCTTTGGTAAATCTACGAGGAAGGAATTCTGCTATGACAATTTACACATCAGTCGAAATGCCTGGGATACCAACCTGGTCAAGGTGAGCAACCCGTTTCGTTGTGCCATCCGCTCTTGGTCTCGTGCCTAAAGCTTACGTTTGATTCTCCCAGGCCAACCCCGAATACCTTTCCGTCAATTGGGAGTCCAGCGGGGGCGGCGCATTCGCTGTCATTCCATTGAACGAGAAGGGCAAGCTACCCGAACAAATACCACTATTCAGGGGCCACACTGCCGTTGTCCTGGATACCGACTGGTGGGTAGAGCTACAGGCGACGGTTCTCGAGTTGGCGTATTGACGATACTGCAGGCATCCATTTAACGACCACATCATCGCCTCTGGCTCCGATGACGGGAAGATATTCATATGGCAGGTCCCGCAGGACTTTACCTTGTACACTGATGCTGAGGAAGTCACTGATGTGGCCCCTGTGAGCAAGCTTGCTGGACACTCAAGGTACACAGGACAAGATCTACTTGCGTGTAGTGATTCTAACAGCAGATACAGGAAAGTTGGACAGGTTCTCTTCAACCCCGCTGCCGAAAGTATCCTCGCCTCCGCCTCCGGCGATTTCACTATCAAGCTGTGGGACATTACTACGGGCCAGGCACCCCTTACCCTGAAGCATGGCGACATTGTTCAGAGCTTGTCATGGAGTGCGAACGGATCGATGCTGGTGACGACATCCAGGGACAAGAAGCTGCGTATATGGGATGTGCGACAAGAGAAGCCCGCTCATGTCGGGCCCGGCCACGAAGGCGCCAAGAACAGCCGTGCAGTCTGGATGGGCGAGCACAACCGCATCGCCACCACCGGCTTCTCGAGGATGAGCGACCGTCAAATTGCTCTGTGGGAACCTGGGCGAGATGGCCCCATTGGCGGCTTCACCAACCTTGACTCCATCTCTGGCGTCTGCATGCCTTTCTGGGATGATGGTACGAACTGTCTGTATCTCGCCGGCAAGGGAGACGGCAACATCCGGTACTTCGAATATGAGAACGACAAGTTCGAGTTCCTGTCCGAATACAAGTCTGGCGACCCTCAACGAGGAATTGCATTCTTGCCCAAACGCGGAGTCAATGTACACGAAAACGAAGTTATGCGAGCGTTCAAGACCGTCAATGATCAATACATTGAGCCCATTTCATTCACTGTGCCTCGAAGAGCCGAGACCTTCCAGTCAGACATTTACCCGCCCACAACTGGAGCGAAGCCAGGTGTATCCGCAAAGGAGTGGCTCTCTGGAAAGACTGAGCTACCGCCTAAGATCGACCTGGAAAGTGTCTACGAAGGCAACGCGCCGGTGGAGGTTGCCGCTGACTTCAAACCGCCTGCCGCCGCCGCAGCTCCGGCCCCTGCTCCTACACCCAAGGCAGTGCCGAAGAAGGAGGAGCCAAAACCTGCCGCTGTGCGGTCACCACCTCCTACGATGTCGGAGCAGAAGGGCTCTATCGCAGCGATGGCATCTAAGTACCAAGACAACGAAGAAGAGAGTGATGACGATGAGGCAGAGACATCTAGCTTCGAGGAAGTTGTTCGTCCGGCGCAAAGAACCTCGGCCCCTGTGAGGTCTGATCCTAAGCCCGTCATCTCACCCATCAAGGCGACACCTGCACCTCAGGCTAAACTACCATCTCCCGTCAAATCTCCTCAGTCATACGCCTCACCAATTACGAGAAGCACCCCGACTCCTGCTGCCGCTAGTGCTGGATCATCCTCGGTCGAGGCATCCCTCGAGCAGATCAAGGAGCTTCTTCAGCAACAGACCAAGATCATTGCTACTCAGAGCGAAAAGATTGGACAATTGACGACGGAGGTGGAAACATTGAAGAAGCGGGTTGCCTCAGGCACCGAAGACCGAGAAAGGATCAGACAGCTGGAACTTGAGTTGGAGGAAGCCCGGTCATGAGCAGCTTGTCGGCTTGTGAAAGAGTTGGTAGCTATGTTCTGGACTTATTGTTGCAACGCGGAGGTCTTTGTTTTGCCAGCGTTGGAATCCAAGGTGTTTGTGGTATACGTTCTCATGAACCTTGACTAAAAAGTAACCGGTTCTGGAGTCTTTGCTCTTCGTTCTTCGAACAACCATACCGTGAACCTTCTTTCCAAGCCTAAGCAACACCATACTCATAGAGGCAGCCGTGAGACTTGAAGCCGCTCAAATCAGATCTGCAACAGAAGTGTCCATCTTTCAGCATTAGCAACAAATGGACGTGCTCTTCTCAGAAGCCTAACAAAGCAGCTCCCTGCCCGGGAGGCCGCATGCCTTTGTTTGAAAACAGACGTGCAACTGGTTGGACAATACCATTGTTCCACTGAGGTGTTTGAATTGTTGTTTCTCTTTGTCCCGGCAAATTTCCACTTGATGCCAGCAACTATATCTTAAACATCTTTCCGCACCGCATTCTGTCTAACTCAGCCTCTTAAAGACAGGTAAGTTGTTTCTTACATTTTCGATCTGATTCAAGTCTTTTGAAGCTGCAGAGTCACAGAGAAGGTAAGTTTCATAGGTAAGTCAGCCACCATGGAAGGCCCGTCCATCCCCAAAGAGAACCCTATCATCATATATGATGATAATAGCGAGACAACCGGGCCTGATATCGTCCCTGAGAACATCGTGGATTTGCCCAAGTGGTGCAAACCAACAGCTGCGAACGACCTCTCAACCCATACCCTCGATCTCTCCCCCGACGAGCCCGCAAGTGAAGAGGGCCCGAGACTAGAGGGTACAACACATCAAGAGTCAGGGGCCATGGAGGACCCCAACCCCGAGACTGAAGTCCCGCCGGGCCAGTACGAGGCCGACCTCTCGGACCGTCTCCGCCTGCTGCAGCAGCAGGTCCCGAGAGACTCGCGACCACAGATACCCCAAGCGTTCCTGGCGTCCCTCGCCGAGCGCATCGAGCGGTCGCGCAAGCTCCTCGGCTGGAGCGCGACCCGCAAGCAGCGCCGCCGCACGCGCACCGCCCCGTCCCCGACGTCCCGCGTGCCGCCGTGCGTGCGGTGCTTCGTCAAGCAGATGCCCTGCTCGCTCGAGTACGAGGACGGCCCGGAGGACATCGTCAGCTGCACGCGGTGCGCGCGCAACGGCGTGCCGCACTGCATCAGGCAGGTCGCTGCTGCGTCGCAGCCGTCAGCGGACCGCGATGACCCCCTTGCCGTAGGTACGAGCAAGAGCGCCAAGTGCGAGCTGTCGGCGACGCTGACGCCCGAGCTGGTCGAGGCGGCCGAGGAGCTGCTGCAGGGTCAGCTGCGGGACGTGTGCGGCATGAAGCTGAGCGCGGATGTGTGCAAGGGCCTGGTGCTGCCGAAGTGGCATGACAATGATAAGCCTGAGAACCAACAGGACCCTGAATTTCGGCCGAGGCAATGGAAGGAGCAGCTCGTTGACCGCAGGCATGAGATGTTAGTTGCTATCCAGCAGAAGATCAAGGTCTTGGAGGGACAGTTGGCGAAGGACGAGTAGTAGGTTTAGCATAACAGTGGCGCCGGCTCAAGTAGCAAGCGGAGATAGAGCAATAAACATCTTCTCATTTGTTGTCAGTCTTGACGAAGTTACACCAAACAATAATGAATATACCCATTGACACATCAACTACCATATGATACAATGTGAAGTGACCTTATGAACTGCTCTTGTTGTCTATCTTGAGTTGAACACTACTAAACATAGGAAAACCTTGACTTGTCATTTAAGCAAGCCACTCACCACCGAGCCACCTGTTGAAGAAGTCCAGGGACGGCTCAGGCTGGTCGTACGGGACCATATGTCCAGCACCGTAGATACGGATGAAGGAGAAGTTACCGCTGGCCTTGACCTTACCGTACTCGTCCTTGCTGCTAGCGCCAGGTAAGGTCAGGCTCTCGATATCAGCACGGTTGAAGTCCTTCTTGCCCGGCCACTCGAGAGCCTCGGTCCAGCCCTGGTTTCCGAGCCAGTTGCAAATGTAATCGGCATCGCCAGCGTAGATCAGGACGGGGATCTGCTCGAGAAGCTTAGGGACGAGGCGGTGGAAGGGCTGCATCCAGTCTCCCTGGAACAAGAAGTTACGGTTGATATCGAAGTTGCAGCTGTCGTAACTGTCGACCTCAACGCCGAGCTCCGCCATGACGTCCTTGTCGTTCAGGAACTTGGTGATGTAGCCAAGCTGGGGATAGCAAAGGTTGCCGCTATCCTCGCACTTGCCACGGATATCGTAGACATTCTGACCAGTGCGCTGGTAGGGGCCAATCAAAGCATTGTTGCAGTAGATGGATGCAGGCACGCAGCTCCAGACGCTGCCGCTCTCGTAGCAGTTCTCGATGAGGGACTGGCAACGAGGCAGGGAGTTGTCCATGGATTGACACTCACCCTCATCCAACACTGCGGGATAGCCACCCTCACCACAGGCCATGGGACGGTAGTACTCGTACTGAGTCAGGCCATCAGTCAAACCGTTGCCAATCAGCACCGACTTGAGATTGATGTTGCGGTTCTTATGGGACAGAATCTCAGAGGCGAAGACGGGAATGTAGTGTCCAGCGTAAGACTCGCCAGCAATGTGGAAGTCCTGCTCGGCGTACTCGGGGAATTGGGTGAAGAAGAGAGTCAGCAGGGCGTAGACGTCCTTGCCGGCCGCGACCGTGTTGCTGACTGACGAGCCAGAGTAGGAGTAGCCGACATTGACGGGTTGGTCAAGGAAGATGACCGAAGCGTTGGCGTTCCAAGCGAAGTCGTTGTAGACCAGCTCAACCTTCTTATTGATCGAGGAAGGGCCAAGCTCAAAGAAAAGGCCGGTGAGAGAAGAGCAACCCGGGCCACCGTTCAGCCACAAGACGACCGGATCGTTCTTGGGGTCGTTTCTTGACTCGAAGAACCCTAGGATGATCCATTAGACGCTGCGTCTCATGAACAAGAAATGATTGGTTGAGTGGCGACTTACAGTAGAACAAGTGCTTGTCATTCTCATCATCGTCAAGGTATCCACTATACTGCTTGACTTTATCGACACCAAGCTTGGATGGGTCGACGGACTTGGCACGCAGACTGTAGGTCTCGAGGTTGCCACCAACCTTACGGTGGCTGTTGCCCTCGGCATCCTTCACCCAAGCGCCCTGAACATCAGCACCCTTGACAACGTAGTCCCAAGTATGGTCAGGCTTGCGGTGGTTCTTCTTGGGGCTTGAGAAGAAGGTGGCCTGCTCAGCAATGTCGGGGACCAGCAGAGAGATCTCGTCCCACAAGGCCTTGGCCTCGGCGGTCATGCTGCCGAAGACATCCTGGAGGTTCTTCAGCGGCTTGGACCAGGACTCGGAGACGGGCTTCGCAGAGTCGAAGCTGTCAGTGAGGTCACCGAGGACATGCTGGGCATGCTGCTGGAAGCTGGCGGCCGATGCGGCGCCGAGCAGAAGGGTTGAGGCGGCTACCCTCATGATGGCTGGCGGCAACGGTGGGCTATGACGTTATCGCCGAGGGGAGCAGTGCAGCAGTGCGTGCAGTCCAGCTGTAGCGATGATGGGGAAGAGAGGATAACCAAGTGAATGGAGATCCAAGGCTGCCGACAAAAGACGATGCAGCAGGCTGATGAATGCAGAGATAGATAGATGTATGGAAGAAAGTGATGAGAGGAGGAAAGAGGAGGAGCTCGTGTGGGTTGTTGTTGAGAAGACGGAAGAGGAGAGGAGCTATCTGAGAGCAGCAGTGTAAGAGTGCGAGGCAACCAGGTGGTGACTAGGTAGGTACCACCTTACGTACTGCCACCACCTTATCCTCCTCCTACCTCCGGTCTGAGGAGGTGGAGGTACCTGGGAGGGTGGGGAGGGGCTATGAAACGCGCCCCGATAGGCAGAACCAGCCCAGTGCCGCAGGTACCTGACAGTGGCACAGTGCTGTACCGGGACCTGGAGCAGCGGGATTCCTCCAGGCGAACCCACCTGGCAACCAGGCGGTGGTTAGTCGCCCAGATGACCTGTTTCCGGCACCAGCCACCCAATCACCTGCCCTTTCCGACAGACGACACACGCCCCAGGCCAGGTACCTTGCCTCTTCCGTCAGGTACCTCTTCAGATCCCACAAGCAAAGGGAACCTTGACGGACAACTCATCCCTCCGAGCTTATCAGTACCTCAAAGTGAAGTGCCCAACCGTTATCATCCACCAACAGAACCACTTCCACGTTCGTCTAGGACTCTTCACAAGTCAAGGCAAGCTCAAATTAAAGTTAGGTTACATAAATCTGATTTGTTTTCAATTTTTTACCTAGGTATCGCAGAAGAACCGCGATCACAGATAGACATCCTCATCAGCTAGTCAACTAGCCGTAACACTTCGTAGTATCGAAAGTCTCAACTCAACACCCATTCCTCCACCCAATGTATCAGCTCCATTGAGACAGGCTCTCCAGTAGACACCGGCGCCATCAAGACTATATACCGTAGCCGGGATAAAATAACCGCGACTGGCTCGTCCTGAACATGTTCGGAACTAATAGCTTGACTGTTTCTTAGCTCTCAATTTCGCACCAAAGCGCCAAAGCACACCCGTCGATGGCAGGGCGATGCCGAACGAGAGGAAGGCCAATAGACTGTTTCCCCATCCGTATCCTAGCGCTGAATACATCTTGTCTGCAAACAACGGGAACGCAAACGCCAGAAGACTCCTCAGCAACTGCGTGGCGGCCGACGCCGAGCTGACATGCTCGGGGTACGCATCCATCACGTACGCTCTCAGCGTGTCATCGAAGATCTGCATGCCCATAGATAGCAAGGCGGCGCCAATGTCCACGACAACCCAGAAGAGGTGGTACTGGGCCGCCCAGCCGTACAGGAGAAGACCCAGCGGCGTTAACAAAACGCCGGGCAGCAAGAGCGGCACACGGAGCTCGGGGTTGGGGCTGTTGCCCACACGCCGTGCTTTGAGGGTCTTGTAGACGTAATCCATCAGTGGCCCGCAAAGTTGCGCGCCGGTGATGGTGCCGGTACAGATTGCGATGTAGTGGAGGCCCGAAATAGATATGGACTCGCCATATGCGGACACGTAGAGGGCAGAGAAGCTGGAGAGCGCGAAGTAGAGGAGACCATAGTTAATACCGCCCAAAAGGGCCTGAATCTGAATGATTGGGTGGAAGGCCAGGAGCCGGAGAGGCCGCGAGAGATTATGGCTCAACAACCACATGGCAGAGCGGCCGACCTCGCGCGTCTCGACCTCGGCGTAGTAGCGGGAGTCGCCCGTCTCTTTGCGCATCTTCTGGGCTCGCCGGCGAAGGAGAAGAGGTGCGTAAGACTCGTAGACGATAGGAAGAGAGCACAGTTCGAGTACACCTTGTAGAATGGCTGTTGCCCAGAACATCCAGCGCCAACTGGAGTGCTCGACTATGAAACCGCCAATGATCGGACCAACACCCGAGCCGGTCAGAGGAATGAGCATATATAGACTCAGTGACCGCCCTCTTTGCTCCGGTGGCCATAAATCACCTAATACACCATATCCGAGAGTGTACACTGCGCTGGCACCGAAGCCTGCCAGAAGACGGGCGGCAATTAGTAGACCTCTCGAGTTGGCAAAGCCACAGATGAGGTTCCAGACCAGAAACCAAATGTTTGTGAAGTGCATGATGGGTTTTCGACCATAGACTTCTGATAGTGGGCCGATGATAAGAGGGCCAAATGCAGTTGCCAAAAGGTATACCGACAATGCCATAGTTGACTCCGTGTTTGACATGTTCAAGTCTGATGCGATTGTGGTGATTGCAGGTGCCATCATCTTAGGTAGACATGATTAGCAGTGGCTCTAGCCGACAATACTGGCGATAAAGCGATCCATTGCGTTACTATGAACACAAGCACGACACATACCGTTGACACCATGATGCGGACAAAGCCCATTCCAGACAAGGACGCAGTCACTGCCCATTTCATCTTCTTGGACCAGTTTAGAGGATTCTCATGATCTCCCGGGCTGAAAGTAATGAGAAATGCATCGTTTTGGACCGGTTCCCGCCCCCGAGAATGATCTTTATTGGCCTGATTCCCTTTAAGACCGCTCTCCCCCAAACCGAGAGCGTGCTTCTCGTTCTCATCAGGCCGCGGCTGGGCCGCACTCTCAATATCCGCCATAATTACTACAAGATAGCGAAGGGGGAGAGAATGAAGGAGACGGTCTCCTTGGGGAGATTCATCATGTAAATGGTCTCACTAAATAACGAAGCAGGCCGACACTTCAGGTGGTATGCAAGGCAGGCCATCCTGTGTGCTCCGGCAGGGGCCGTCTTGCATGTGCAGGATCTGATTATGCCGGACCCGACTACGAGCCGCAGAGAATGTCTGGGTCTATTCCGGTCTTGGCAGGTCAACTTCAAAACTACGACATAGTATGCTACTAAGTCTGAAGTCTAGGCTACTGAGTACTTTCCGAAGGATCAGCCGCTAGCACAGTTATCTGATCTATTACGCAAGCAAGTGTTGGAAAGGCCCGCACGGTAGACTAACACTTTCTCGTGATAGCCTGTAGAATATTTGCTAGTCAGCCGTGCGGTTTCGCTCACCTTTCTATTTGGGTAAGGGAACTTTCCGCCAATACAATGTTATTCTCAACATTTTTTAGTCATTGATGGTGATGGCGACACCGAACAACATGCTAATTCTAAAATCCGAGGTTGGATGCCTAGCTCGGGATTACGGTAACATCTTGTAGATATACCTGGACTAAACCCATCTCATGTCGTTGCCAATGCGTTCAGCAGAAGGGTTGAAATGCGGTCGATATCTTAACATAGCATTCTAATTCCACCGGTATTTGGCTACAACTTTAAACAGATGTTACAATTCATAAGAGGACTTCGGTTACTCTGGGTATAGCTATCATCATGCAGCCAAGCGACGCACGCTTCAGTGTGGCGGCGATAGTCGCAGACAAGCACGATGCACTCCGCGCACTCAACGACAAGATCCATGTAAACCCGGAGCTGGGTTATAAGGAGTTCATCGCCCATGATACGCTATCCGCCTTCCTGGAGTCTCACGGCTTCTCAGTGACTCGCTCCGCCTATGGACTGGAGACGTGCCTTGAAGCACGATGGCCAGCCGGCCCAACTGTGGCGGGCTCACCCTCGGCAACCTTCTGCGCCGAGTATGATGCCCTGCCGGAGATCGGACATGCCTGCGGGCACAACTTGATCGCCACGGCCTCAGTGGCAGCGTCCATAGCCCTAGCACAGACGCTGGAGAGAGCGAAGATTCCTGGAACGGTCCGACTTTTGGGAACGCCAGCTGAAGAGGGTGGCGGAGGCAAAGTGAAACTCATCGACGCCGGTGCTTTCTTGCCTTTCGACAGAACTCGGCCTGAAGTCGCGCTTATGGCTCATCCTGTGTCGTTCAAGTCGTTTACGATGCAAGAAAAGCTTCCACCATCCACCAAGTTTCTAGCCGGGTTCCGCTGTATCGCCTCCGAGGAGCTTCAGATCGAGTTCTTTGGCCGGTCTGCGCACGCGGGAGGAGAGCCATGGCTCGGCCGCAACGCTCTTGATGCAGCTGTCACTGCTTATACTGCCATGAGCCAGCTGCGACAGCACATTCGGGCAGACGAGCGAGTGAATGTGATCATCAATCACGGCGGAGATGCCCCGAATGTGATTCCAGCATACGCCAGCTTGCTGTGCATCCTTCGGGCGCCGACCAAAGTTGCTCTTGAAGATATCTCTAGCCGAGTACGGGCATGTGCTGCAGGTGCGGCGCAAGTGGCTGGCTGTGAAGTAAAAGTCAAGCTGACGGAGCCGGCGTACCTGGATTTGCGGGTGGTTGACGCCATATCAACCGTGTGTGCTGAAGAGATAGTCGAGGTAGAGGGTGGTAATACTGCTGCTGTGGTCGCACACAGTGACTTTCAGCGAACAATTTCTACCGACATGGGCAATGTTTCGTACGTGCTGCCCTCATTGCATGCGATCTATGGGATTCCTTCGCAAGAGGGCGCCAGCTGTCACGACCCGCGCTTCACCGAGGCATCAGGGAGCGATGAAGCATTTGAGACTGCTTTGAGAGTGGGCAGAGGGTTGGCAATGCTAGGATGGAGATTCATCACCGAGCCGGAGCTCACGCATAAAGTAGCTGAGCAGTACTTAAGCTCATAAATATCAATATCAAGTAGACCTTCCAGTATCGCGTCTTGAATATCAAGTTTTTATTCATGATTCGCTCGCACACATGTAGAAAGAGTCAAAGGGGCGAATCACATATTGCAATGCTAGTAGCATCATCCGGCATCATCCGACATCATACCGCATCATAAGCATCCGAGGAGCAGTGATGGCAGGGATAGGCTGCGAACGCTATATTCAATACCAAGACATGAGACTACCGGTTCAACTTATAGAAGCTTGGCAGAAATCGCTTTTTGTGAAATAAATCACTGTAGTCTCTGAGTCAAGCCATGAAACTGAATGTAGGTGATAAGTCTCAGCTGTGTCAGATGGCCGACGAATATACACCTTTACTAGGTACCTAGCCTTTCTCTAGGAGACATAATTAATATACATGGACACTGCTTGTTCCGATCCTGATACATAAATAAACTTGTTCACGGTCTTACGTCATTCGTGGGGTTGACGATTTGTTCTTACCTGGTGTCTAATATAATGAGACACTTTGGAAGACGCAAGTGTGTAAGTGTGATTCTAGTGTACTTACAGTGTGCCCAGAGTCACAGGCTTCTAAGCCCCGCGGACTGCCCAAGATTCATTCCCCTCGGTGGGGCAGCTTCTGGTGTTAGCTTAGTGCAGACTCAGTGTTAGTCACCCCGCAGGTACAAGAAACCTGACGCAAAGGCGGCGGTGGGTGCATATTAGAAATTCTTCAGGAAGAGAAGAAAACCCAGCGGCCAAACAAACGGGCTATATATGTCTCATAACGCGAGACTCTATCCGACAACCACGCTATTATTCAGGTCCGACAAATAAGCACAACCGCAGCCGCCCAAGATGTCGCGCCAGATCAACCAGCCCTCGAACCAGATCAAGCTGACCAACGTGTCGTTGGTGCGGCTCAAGAAGGGCAAGAAGCGCTTCGAGATCGCCTGCTACAAGAACAAGGTGCTTGAGTGGCGGTCCGGCATCGAGACAGACCTGGACAACGTCCTGCAGATCCCCAACGTCTTCCTGAATGTATCCAAGGGGCAGACGGCTCCGCACGCCGACTTGGTCAAGGCTTTTGGCAAGGATGTACCTGTCAACGATATCATTCTCGAGATCCTCAACAAAGGCGAGATACAAGTCGGAGAAAAAGAACGGGCGGCACAGTTGGAACGGGTGCACAATGAAGTGATCGGTATCGTCGCGAGTAAACTGGTGGACCCTAGGACAAAACGAGTCTACACGACGGGCATGATCGAAAAGGCGCTTGATATGCTGAGCTCGCAGGCGCATCACGCACAGAACGACAAGGACGGCAACAAGAGCACTACTGGAAGTGGTACAGGGACGCCCGCGACGGGTGATAGTGGTGAAGCGAAGCCGCGGCCGGTCAAGGAACATGTCTGGACCGGTGTGGTCACCACGAAGAGCGCAAAGAGCCAGGCGTTGGAGGCTATGAAGGCCCTTATTGCGAACCAGCCGATACCTGTCACAAGAGCACGGATGAGGCTACGCATTACATGTTCGACCAACGTGCTCAAGCAGGCGGTGAAAGCCCCAGCGGCTGCCAAGGGACAGAAAGGCGAGGACGATGACGGAGAGAAGAAAACACCAGGCACTGTCAAAGACAAGATTCTAAGCTATATCGAGCAGGTTGATACTCAGGATGTTCTGGGGTCAGAGTGGGAAGTAGTTGGCTTCGTGGAACCCGGAGCCTTTAAAGGTCTCTCGGATTTCATTGGCAATGAAACCAAAGGCCAGGGAAGAGTAGAGGTTCTCGATATGGCTGTTACTCATGAAGATTAAAGGGAGAGATACCCGGCTTGACGAGTTCGATGAATGCATACACTGGCGTTTCAAAGCATAGAATTGGAATGGAAAAAAGTCGTTTGCCTGAGCCTGCTCTTTTGTTCCGTTCTCAAAATCTCACACATGCGCATGAATAGATTCACAATCACCGTTTGACTCGTAGTTGTGGTTGTATGCTGAACGCCGTATCGTCAATTTCAAAGATTTTTCACTGTTCTTCATTGAGTCCACCCGTGTCCAGATGAGGATCACTATGCCACTCTTTTTGTGCATACGATCAAGATGAATCCAGCCATACCACGCCGACCATCCGTAGCAATTGAGATAACACCGAAATCCAGATATGCTCCCCGACTTCTGTCTTAGCCACCCTTCTTCTTGGACACACCGACAGTCCTGCCTCGTCGGCCAGTCGTCTTGGTGTGCTGACCACGAACACGGAGGCCCCAGTAGTGACGGAGACCACGGTGGGCACGGATCTTCTTCAGGCGCTCGAGATCCTCACGCAGCTTGGAGTCGACACCGTTGGCCAGGATCTGAGAGTCCTTGCCATCGACGATATCGCGCTGTCTGTTGAGGAACCAGGTGGGGATCTTGTACTGGGTAGGGTTCTGGATGATGGTGACAATTCGCTCAAGCTCTTCGGAGGTGAGTTCTCCAGCACTAGCCATCTGTTAGCTTCTTTGCCATTTCTTGCCATACTCAATCGTCGGTCGTAATTCGAGTCGTTGTATGAAATACGAGTTTATCGGGGAAACCATACCGCTTGTTCAGGTCGACATCGGCCTTCTTGCAGACCAGGTTGGCTAAATGACAGTCAGTATGGGCCTATGGCGCAAAAAAGCTGCGGAGATCGTTGAAGAATACTCACAGTAGCGTCTACCCACACCCTTGATCTTGGTCAAGGCGTACATGACCTTTTGCTTGCCATCGACGTTGGTGTTCAACAATCGAAGGATCTTCACAGCGTACCACGTTAGCATTCAACCCTTCCATCATATCATCGATCGAGCGCGAGCGCCGCGGCTTGTCGGGGTTTACGTACGAACTGGAAGTTGCCTGCGAAAAGCCATAATGTTAGCAAAGCTTGAAGATACACGAGATATTGCGATTCTGAACTTACTCTTCTCTCCTGAAACGAGAGACATGATGGGCAACCTGTTTCGATGACGATGCCCTCGAATGGCTGGATGTGTTGTCTGTCTAGGAGAGGGGAGAATTTTTGGTGTGATCAGTTTTCTGGGCTCGCGTTAGAGCGGCTGAGCCGCTAGCCGCATCACGTAAAAACCCTAAAGTGGGTCTTACTTCTGGGCAGACTCAGGCACATGATCAGACACGTGCATTTAGCCATGGGCTCCACTTCGATATAGGTTGCCTCTAAGTTACCTAGGTACCTAGGTAGGTAGCTTTAACAACCTCAGCTTCAGCCTAAGTACTTAGGTAGGTACTGCGTAATTCATCGCGTCTAATTGCTCCTACTGCCCAGCCATATTCACGAGGAAACTACTACATCTACATCATTGAATCAGTGGATGTGCATCAAAATGTTGCATTGGGTGGTTGAGCCTCCCAAGTACGCGGTGAACGAGAGCTCATGCTGAAATACAGAATTTCTGATCGAGCACTACATCCAATCTCGTCAAGCGACTATTATGATCAGTCCGTCTAACTTACCTAAAGTCCATCCAAGCTTAACTTGAGAGTTATTGGTGTGAGACGTGGGGCAGCCTCTTATATACAGCCTTATTACCCAAAAGTGAAGATGAAACCCATCGCGACAGGGGGCTTACCCGCCACGACCTGTGAGGCTCTTCTCACATCCCTGCTGTGTCACAGATGCACCTCCGATCAAGCCCACCTCACAGCATGAGACATGATGTGCTCCGATCAAACATCATTCCTCCTTCTTGAAGTCAGCCCACATTCCGCCAGCGTCAATTTTTGCACTCGGTCACGCAACACAGATTACTGGGACCCAGCGGATCATCCTATGGGGGATCTTAGATGCTCAAGTGAGCGAGCTGCTCTATTCTTGGCCTGCAAAGAAGGACAATGACGGCAAGTCTTGCCCTTGAGATTGCTATGATCTACATATTCGTTTGTTTTCGTTGGTCTTTCATCGTGCTCTCGGATCTACCGCTGCACAGACCACCAATCCCAAATTACCAACGCCGTCCAGAAGAAAACATATATGGGTATGAACTCGAAAGGTACAGTGAAGAAAAAGTCGTCATGCCATGAAATCAACGCTGGAGATAGAACAAACTACCCGAACATTCCTGTTTGGTGTTCTATCTCTCTGATTTCTTTACTTTCGACTTTTCTGCTGTCCCTGTGGCCTCTGCTGTAGCCGTCGTAGAGGTTGATGAGTCTGTTGATGTCGACGTAGCCGTCTCTGTAGCTGTTGAAGTAGTCGATGAGGCAAGGAGCGTCGGGTTTACTTGTCCCAGGATAAGACCAGCGAGCTCGGCCTGTGCCACGGCAGCGAGGTTGGACAGCAGCGCAGCCTGCAAGTTGAACAGCGAGCCGCTGTTGATGGCGACCAGAGCACAGTCTTGATTCAGTGTATTGACGTCGCTCACAAAGAGGGCCTGATTCGGCAGGATGATTGCCGCTGGGTCCACGAATACCTGGTCGACGTTCAACGACGGAGCGGACGAGTTGAAAGGCAGCAACACGCTCTGGTTCAGCTGACCAAAGGGAGCGAGCTGGTCGAAACTTGCAACTGCTGGAGTGGCCGTCGGATTTGAGACTGCGCTGGCGGATGCTAGGACGGCGGACAGGTCTGTCGGGGTTGCAACAGCGCCGACAGTCAAGGTGTCAAGCGCAGTGACCATGACGACGATCTGGGACTCAGGTGCTGCATTGTCGGCCAGCAATTGGTTGATGAGATACCGGTTGTTCTTATTTGACGAGTCACGCAAGTCCACCACATTTGTGACAGTAACGATGACAGTATTCTTCAAAAATTATCAGTTTATTGGTGCCTAAAGGAAGATTTTGGTGACAGAACTCACCACTTGTGGCCACCTAGCCTTGAAGTGGTTTACGCGGATGTTGTTCTTGATGGTTTCTACCTCGGTGATCAAAGCAATCTGAGATTGAACCAAAGCGGCGAACTCCTGCTCTGCAATGAGAGCCAGCTGGTTGATCGTGTCAAGGTTGTTCTCAATGACAGTGATCTGAGTCTCGGTGATGGACTGCTGGATGATAAGAGGAGAGCGCTTCTGTGCTCGGCTCTTGTATTTAAGACCCTTCTCTACTGGCGTTACGTCTCGTTCATGAGCAGGAGCTGTTAGGCCTGATTAGCATTCTTAATTACAACTTCCAAGCGGAGCTTCTCCTCACCGGCAGCAACAATCGAGCTGAAGCCCACCAGGGCTGTGAGGATGCTGGATAGATACATGGTAAAGGATGGACGATGAATAGAACGTGAAGGAAGGTAAGAAGGTCAAAATAGGTATCCTGTCAAAGGAGCGAAGGAATGCAGTAAGTATTATACAGCGAAACAGACCGCTGCCTCTGGGGCGCGAAAGAGAGACTGAGAGACAGAGAAAGTCGTAACGATGAGCCTACGATCACAGCAGAGATCATACAGAACAACATAAGGAGATCATGATGTGCACATGGGGACTCGCAGGACTATATAGCATTGATCATGCTGCGAGGCCGATGATGCCCGCTTCGTGACCGGCTGTTCTGCTTCCCGCTCGACATCCCTGGCTGTAAGAGGCACCACCTCCGCGTTGGGCGGTCTCGCGGCCTGTTCACATCGAGGCATGATGGCTAATTGGTGCGCAGAGGTGTGGTTGAGGGGAAGCAGGGGCTCTAATGCCAACTTTGGACTGACAGCACGTCAACCCATGTAGCTCAAGTACCGCGCTGCAACTTTATCAGCGATAAGATACTTTGACTGCCGACATAGAGGCTGAAGTCTTGCGACGAAATCGCCTGAAGAGCTGGGATAAGTCTGGAGTTCCAGAAACCAGGGGTTGCCGTGCACTGACAACTTGTGCTGGGCGGCCAATCAGCTTGAGCCTGGCTAAGTTGTACAGACAGGGGCTGCCCTGCAAATGCCAGACGGACATCGTTTTGACTTGGAAAACATACACTTCTTGGCATCTATGCAACTGTTGCAACGGGCGCCTGGACTCACGAGACTCCCAAAAGAGCCTGTGTGCAATGCTACCGGCAGAGCAGCCTAAGATCTTCTGCTCTTATGACCGTCACGGTAGAAGCGAGACACAATTGACAACCGAGGATTCGTAGCCCGAGTTTCTCGCCTGGATCGTCGCACATCGCCGGCATAGCATGATTTACCAAAGACTGGGCAACAATAGAAGGCAACTGCAACCGGTAAGACTAGTATCTTGTTAGAGCACCATAGAGACGTTTGAATGTGCGCATGTCAAAGCTTGGAGCACAAAATCCACCGAACACCCAAGGGACTGAAACATGGCGATAGAGTTGACAAGCTCCAGCAACAAGCTTCTCTTTGAAGCTTAGAGTCTACACAGCGGGGACGTACGGGGTAAGAGCTGGAAAGTGGGAGGCTCACAGCAACCGGTCCCACATCTGGAAACAAAAGAGAAACGAGGCTGTGCCCAAGTTCGGAGCCAGACCGTCCAAGCAGGGTGACATGGATCGTCTAGTCCGTGCTGTCCATCATTGGTCTCTTCTGAAAATCCTCAGTCAATGACAAATGTCCAGACTTTCTCTGGTTTCGTCTGATCTGTCGTCTGGTAGGCGAATAAGCACCGCCTCGAGCCATGGTCTCAACTTGTGTAGTGATATGGCCATGCATGAGATGGCCTTTGGACTTCTCGCTACCAGACTCCAGAGCATTGATGATCCTCTTCGAAGTGTCTCCAGAAAATGAGGGGCTGGTCTCCCAAGACAGTCAAGACGGCACATCTTGCCTGACAAGCGGGCCAAAGAGGTCGCCATCGCCTGTGTTGCACCGAACTAACCTGTTGATGATCAGGTAAGTACTTTGTATAGTAAATGAGCACCACTTTGAACAACCTTCGTCGTATTACATCACTGAACCCGGACTTCATGAAGAATATTCGATTCAGCTTGAGCAACATCGCTCCAGATGTTGCCAGCTAATCTTGGATAATGTCTACATGAAAGAAATCCAAGACACAACCGTGTCTTGGGCACATTGTCGCTATGGTAATCGGAAAGCGCTTTGGACCCGGTTTCAATTCAGAAGCGCCATTCGCCTGCCCATGGCTCACCAACTCCTACACAAAGCACTACTCCTCTATGCATCACTTTGAGCGAGCTTCTGTTCCAGCCACCCCTCGTCTAGCCACCGTCGTAAGTCTGATAGACTGGCTGAGGGTCTGAAGAGGAGCTCAGAAGGCTCATGCTCGACTTCTTCGTAAGGATCCTCTTCGAGCCTTACCTCAGGGTCGGCTATGGCCTGCTCGACACCCTCGTTTCGTAGATCCTGAGAAGAATCGCCGCCGTAGTCTGCAGGCTCATCGTCTCTGGCGTGAACCTCCTGCGACTCTTCCGGCTCTTCGCTTGGCAGCTTCCCCTGGCTTCTCCAAAATCTGTTGGAGAAGCGACTCTACAGCATCTCCTTCATTTCTTGGTCGCCGCCATCATCGGCAGCGGCAGGAGCAGCACCGTTATTGTTACCCCTCCCAAGGCCGCCCAATTTCCCAATGCTGAGACCTGCGATGCCCTCCTTAATAGAAGAGAAGGCACCGGCATTGCCGGCATTGCCGGCATCGCCTGCTGAGGCACTCCTTTGTAAGGCTGGCAACGTTTCCTCGGGAGTCAAAGTCGAGTGTGCAGCTTCTATCTGTGTGAGAACAGATCGACTGTTGGTCAGACCTGGTGGCTGAGGGCTTGAGGACGGAACGGGTGTTCCAGCATCGCTATTCACGGAGCTTGCCCCTGGCTGAGGGCTGGCTGCAGCAGACTGATACAAAGCGACTCTCTCTGCAGCGGTAGCCGCGGCATTGAGAGCCCCGTTCATCTCGTCGTCGGTCCTATTGAACAATTGATGCCACCAGCGAACATCACTCAGCTTTGGGAAGACTAGCCGTTCCTGGCCTTTGGTATGGTCGTCGACTACGGGATCATATCGAGGATTTGTGAACTCAGCGCGGCGAGAGAGGAAATAATCCCATACAGACGCAGTCCTTTCCTGGACTTTGGCATCTATTCTCTGTTTCTCGTTGTTGTACAAGAAGGTGCCATACTGGCAGGAGTAAGTGTGGTATAGCAGTCGTCGGAGGAAACGCTCGTTGAATTCGAACCGAGTAGGATGTTGTCGCAGCATCTGGTAGACAGCGTCTAGGAACTGGTGGAAAACCGGACTGATCTCCTTCGGGCGCGTGGCTTGATCTTCAGAGATCGGGACCGGCTTGGTGGTGGCCTCGTCTGTTGCAGCAAGGTTCTCCAAATCCGAATCCTCGCGGTCTTTATCCGCGCTCAAACCCTGCCGGAAGAAGCGCCTTGCGTTGGCCATGGCGTTTTCAATGGCGTCTCCTCGACCGTCGTTCTCGCCAGGTTCTATCCTGGCGCCAGCCATGGCATCATTCTGAAGGGCGAACCACTTCTCATGTCCTAGGAATCCAGAGCGTTGCTGGAACATGTGTCCAAACGAAAGCCAATCCTTTTCGACTAGAACAACGAAACCATCTATGGTACGGTAGTAGGGGTCAAGCATCAGCTGAGATAGTGCGCTCAGCTGGCTTGTCCGATCCCAACCATCCGAGCAATGAATCAGGACATGTGAATGCTGAATGCCAACCTGTCGCGCAATCAGGGCTGAGCCGTCAAGTATACCGCTTATGTGCTTTAGCCAGCCGCTCTTGGCAAGAAGCTCCCTGTTTGGCGGGAATGGAGACACATCTGCATCCTTGATAGCCTCGACAACCTTGGCCAAGGAGTCCCTCATAACGTGAATGTTGTCGATACTTAGGAAAGCTTTCTTCGCGAACTTGTAGTAGTCCATGTTCTCCGATCCCCTACCGACCACTTGCATTGCATACGAGTTGATAGCGGGCCGGGCATCCACGATCAGATTATGCTGTTGGGCGCCGTATATGAGGCGCTTCCCCTTCTCGTCATAGAACGCATTGCCGCTGGCAATGAATTCGTCCTCGAGCCTCTCAGTGTCTGAAATGTCTCCATCCACTCCCTCTAATGAGCTATCCGGCTGGCTCGGGGGTGGACTCGGCTCCGTTGCAGTGGCAGTATCTTGCTGGGGACCGGACGCTGAGAAACATGCGGCGACCAGTCGCTCATCTTGAATACTTCGATTGTTCTTCAAGCCGACAAAAGGCTGCGAGCTTCGGGTGATGGAGCAGTTGTTGATGGGGTGCAGGTAGGTGAGAGTAGGTATCCGACATCTCGTCCGGTGGTTCCCGGCATACTTGATGGTGTTGTCTGATATGTTGGAAGGGACAGCGAGCACGGCCGGATACGTCGGCGAGAAGGTATAGTCCTTGTTGAGAGTTGAGATGCGCCAGCCCCGGTCGGCAGACTTCTCGCTTATGCCTTGTCTACGGAACTCAGCCCTGGGATCATAGAGATGCCACCCGCCAATCTCCTGCTCTTGCTTCAGGCGCTGGTATGCGAACGCATACAGCTTCTCGATGCGACCAACTCTGCAGGTGTGAGTCCGTATGAAGTCGAAGGCATCGCGCGCAGACTTGTCGTCTTCGAAATTGAACGTCACGAAGTTGAAATCCCGGCAGCGTAGTCGAATCGAGGAGGGGATGCCGCTTGAGGCAGGGGTTGGGCGGAAGGTGCAGAAAGAGAGTATTGGATAGGGTATCCAGGATTGCCTGTTCGGTTGCCTCTTGGGTTGCACGGCTGCTTTAGACTCGTCTGTCTCCTGTGTCTTCTTTGGAGGGAGCGGAGGCGCCACGAAGATGATGTGGTATTCTCGCAGCTCAAGCCATCCTGCAGTTGCGACGCCTCCCGCAATCGCATGGACATTCTCGATGACCTAGACAGAGCACTGGGTCAGCACAGCTCAGGAAATCAAGGTAACGGAAATAGAATACCAATTTATGGTCTGACTTAGTTCCGCCAGCCATAATGCAGTACTGTTCACAACAGATACATCCAGGAGTGTGTTGTGAGTACGGAGTTCCCGGCTGAGGTTGTGCTGATTGATATTTGAGGCGGCGACAGATGCTTGGAGCTTGGGCAGGAGGGGTAGAGAATGAGGGTCAGCAGGAGGTTCAAAAGACAGGCTTTAGAGGACAAGATAAGCTGTAAACAAGAGCCATGAGCTCCAGTCAGTCATCCGATGCCACACTGCGCGTCACGTCGTGTACAATGAACAAGCTGCTTTGCTGGTCATCAGATTGTGTTGCTTGTGCCTGTCTAGACTGCTAACCTACTGAGGTGGACTCTAGAGAGAGAGGTCGGGTGGCATGTGGCATGTGGCAGGCAGCTGTTAGACTTTAGCTAGGGGGAGGTTCAGGTGGCCGCAGCGGTCCAATCCACTGCAACAGCACAGCTTCTCCAGCGCAGAGCGCCTCGACCTCCAACGGGCCTGACAAAGAATAGTGGGCCTCCATAGTTTAGGTAGCTTGCCTCTAGTGTGGCTTCCGAAAAGAATACGTACCTTTTTTTGTGGCTGGTGTGGTGCTGAGCCTGAAAGTGCTCCTTTCCTAGTCCACACGCGAGGCACGGACCACCTAGGGTTTCCCCCCACCAAAAACTACAATTTTCGACGAGCCTGCCACGAAAACCAAACGACCCGACCGAACGGAGCTTGGAAATTTCACAACCCTCGATCGACCTTCTCACCACCCAACCGCGTCATCGCCAGTTCATATACCAGACATCAAGCAATTGAGTCAAGATGGCGGTTCCAGGCACCCAGATGTGAGTGAACACCCTTACTTTACACATGAAATCGGTGGAAGGAAAAGAGGAGGGCTTTCGTCTGGGGAGGCGAGGGGCTGCCGCTTCAAGATCTCGCGATGGGCGAATGAAGAAATAAAGGGGATTTACTGACTTCCTTCCGTCCTACAGTTCCAAGCGCAGAAAGTTCGTCGCCGACGGTGTCTTCTATGCCGAGCTGAACGAGTTCTTCCAGCGCGAGCTGGCCGAGGAGGGCTACTCGGGCGTCGAGGTCCGCGTCACCCCGACCGTCACCGACATCATCATCCGCGCCACGCACACCCAGGAGGTCCTCGGCGAGCAGGGCCGCCGCATCCGCGAGCTCACCTCGCTCATCCAGAAGCGCTTCAAGTTCCCCGAGAACAGCGTCTCCCTGTACGCCGCCAAGGTCCAGAACCGCGGCCTGTCCGCCGTCGCCCAGTGCGAGTCCCTCCGGTACAAGCTGCTCAACGGCCTGGCCGTCCGCCGCGCCTGCTACGGCGTCCTCCGCTTCATCATGGAGTCCGGCGCCAAGGGCTGTGAGGTCGTCGTCTCTGGCAAGCTCCGCGCCGCCCGTGCCAAGTCCATGAAGTTCACCGACGGCTTCATGATCCACTCCGGCCAGCCCGCCAAGGACTTCATCGACAGCGCCACCCGCCACGTCCTGCTGCGCCAGGGTGTGCTCGGCATCAAGGTCAAGATCATGAGGGGCTCCGACCCCGAGGGCAAGGCCGGCCCCCAGAAGTCGCTGCCCGATGCCGTCACCATCATCGAGCCCAAGGAGGAGCAGACCATTGTCCAGCCCGTCTCCCAGGATTACGGCGCTAAGGCCGCTCAGATGCAGGCGCAGGCAGAGGCCCAACGGGCACAGGAGGAGGGCGAGGGCGAGACGCCGGCTGCCGAGTCGTAGGAGACTCGGGGTGGCGATCCCGCTCACCGCGCCGTCTCTCCCCCAGCTGGCAACACTTTCGACGGCAACAACAACAACGAGGACGCTGCTGCTTTCACCACTTTTGATGGCGGCAACGACTTTGCTGTTGGCGGCGAGAATCCCAGCGGAGGCGAATTCGACGTCGGCGACTGGACTCAGGGTAGCGTTCCCAACTGGTAAAGGAGGGACGAAGAAGGGGGGGTTTGCTGTTGCCGGGGGTGGTCAAACATCAGGCGTCTTTTGATGATTATCATCTTACTTATGCATTACGGCTGGACAGGGAAACGGAAGATTTGCTGCTTTCTCGGGCTTGTACCTACTTCCATGCAGACCATGAAAGAAGAGAGCAACGAACACATGCATGACCACCGTCTCGGCGTAGATATCGGAAAAAAAACACCGTCTACTCATATTGTGTTGCTCCTTGCGTGAGATGTGTAATCAACTGGAGAACGCCCATGGAACCATGCAATGTAGCTCTTGAATACCAAATGTCCTTTGTCTGGCAGATTCCAGTAGGCCTCGCTTTCCAACGCAAACGGCAGCAAAGACACAAGCTGGGACATGCAGTTTGAAATATGCTAATTTGCGGCTCTATGAACGACAAAATGCTGGTGCTGACTATGATGCTGTAGGCTGCTCTGAAGCCTAGATCTCTCTCCTCTCCCACCATGCCACATCCCATCTTATCGTACAGGCCGTGAAGGCACTTATGGTTCGGTGGTGGTCGAGGATCTTAAAAATGTACACAGTAGTTGTCGAGGAAGAAAATTGTAGTCGAAGTCAAAGTCGTTCCTCCCAGACATACCTGAACGCCTAATGAACGCCTCTTTTTCATATCGTACTCCCGCATATAGAAAGTGTGATCCCCCTCCCTGTATTCCTGGCCCATTCGTGATGCAACGCGTGTCTCGCCACCTTGCATCAATTTCTTCATTCCCCAAGTTATTCAAGCCCATGCAAGCCATGCCGTGAGCTTCCCAGAGAGGTATGAGTGTGTGATGGAAATATACAATGCGAATCCGCCAGGGAGTTGAGTATTGTCCCCCGTGGCAGACGAGAGCTGGAGCTGTCCATGTGTCCTCAATCAAGAAGTATGCATGTACTGTAGTATTATGTGCCTTGGTCAGGTACTGATTATCTCTCGCCTGACTTTGGCGTTTGCATCTCAATCGCATCGCTCATGTTCTTCGAGTGACCATTGGCATTGCCGTTCGGCCTACCGTTCAAAGGGGCGTCTTCATCGCTGTCGAACTCGGTCAGGCCAAAGCCGGCGGCCTCCTCTTCGTCATATGCCCTTATCAAGCCTTCTCTGTCGCCCCTAGCACTGCCCATGCTATGGCGGTTCATGCTCCTTCGTGCCTCCATGCTCATACGAGTTTGGACGCTCGAGACCATGTCTGTGCCAATAGCATCCGCACCGCCGCGTCCGGCAATCATCTTCATGCCATGTGGGTCGGTTCTTGAGAGATTAAGCAGGTACACACCGGTAAACGTCACCAAGAATCCACAGAGTAGAGACAGTGTGTTAACTGCGTCGGATGTATTGAACCCCTTGAAAAGGATGAAGGAGGCGCAAAGAGTTGCTGTGGTGAATGTGACGTAGTATAGAGGGTTCACACTGGAAAAGAGTGTCAGCCAAACTGTGTCATAGTGGGCTCACAGCCTGCCAGTAGATCACTTACATGTTCGTGGGGAATTGGCTGAGGGCCTTATTAAAGTAGTTCATTTGCACCAGGATGCAAACCGTGGTGATGATCATGAACACATAGGTGGAAGGATGAGAAAACTGGTTGTTTCCTCCGAACGTTAACTTCAGTGCAATCCCGAAGGCCTTGATAGACATGACCGAGACTGATCCCACAGTCGAGCAAATTCCAAGGTAGATGAGCGGATTCTTCTTTCCGTGAACCGGTGCCACCTTGTAAATCATAGTAACGGCAAATATGCAAACGACGAGACAGAATAGCAGGAAGCCTCAAAAGCAAGTCAGTAAACGAAATATGCTTGTCAGTGAGTGGCAATGGGCCAGGCATACCAGGTTGGAGTGCATATTCAAGGATTTGCTCGATGGTCTCAATATCTTCGTCCGCGGGAGCGTGGAGGACGATGATCACGGCACCGATGAGACAGATGGCGCTACCAAGCTTGCCCAGCGTTCCCAGCTCTTCTTTGAGGAAGTATGATCCCAGAACTGCTCCTACCAAGACGGCCAACGCGCCAAGCGGCGTCACGAGAATGGCAGGGGCAAAGGCATACGCTGCGAAGTTGCATACCTCGCCAATGACCACTAGACATCCAGCATTAGCATCTTGAAACTTGCCGACCTGTTTGCAGGGGGGGAATTTTCGTACTTGTGCCGATTCCTGCCCACCACAGAGGGTTTCTAAGATAGACAAAACCATCGCCCTCGAATCCATGTCGTTCTTCTGCTTGTTGTAATCCCTATAGTGCCTGTTGTCAGCATCAAGTCGTCAAGACTGGAAGAGTTTTTGAGAATCGTCCCCCGCCATCTGGCGGTCGGCGGCTAGCGCGTACCTTTTTTGTGATAACGAAACTTGTGCCTGGAAGGGAGGAAAGTTAGCAAACTCCTTGGGCGCAAAAGGAACAGATCGTGAAGCGCATACCGATGGCTAAACTCGATGTCATGGCCAGAGCCAGACCGATGTATCTGTGATGCGGAGCGAGGTCAGCGCATAGCCCCTCCAAACCAGCTGGCCGGACATGGTCGCAGCGCAGCGGCACAGGCGACAACTGGGACGAAGTCAAAGAGAGCCGTACTTTTCTTCTAGCATCGTGACGAAAGCGAGTGTGCGTGCAGCGGAAGGCTGCTTTTCAGAATGATTGAATAGTCGATGGGGGCTCGACGGGGGCGGGCGCGCTGCGATGTTGGCGATGTCGCAGAAAGTGGAAACACGTGGAGAGTGTGTGTGTGAGAGAGAGAGAGAGAGTGGCTCCGGCGATGGCTCGCGCCTGGCGAGGTGAGAGACAGTCAAGGATCCAAGTTCAAGGGGCCTCAGTATCGACACATTCGACAGTCCTTCAACCAAGGCGACTCCCCCGATGATTACAGGCGCGTCTCGTGGGTGGTGACGTGAGTTGGGAGGTTGGCACCGCTGCCCTCGTCTTGGTGGTCGCTGGTGGTCGCTGGTGGTGATGGTGGTGGTGGGAAGAGTCTTCGGTTACAAGTCAGGATAGGCAAACGCAATGTAAATGTCAGATAACGTTTTGAGGCAGGGCAAAGAAGATGCAGAACCCCAACGACACACAAGCCACCTTGTTTTTCTCGGAGGATGCTGGAGGAAAAAATGCTACTGCTGGTGGTGCTGGTCGTGACAAGGGATGAGATGGGGATGGGGGATGGTAACGTTATGCGACGGGATGTGCAATTCGTTTCGTGCGTTTGGCGGGAAACGCTATAAGTCGAGTAAGGTACTGTACCTACTGCGTAAGTAAAGTAAGTAAGTAGGGATGGCGTAGGTAGGTAGGTAGGTAGGTAGGTAAACCTAGTCAGTCAGTTACTACGCAGTAGTTAGTTAGTGAGAAGTGCGAAGGGCCGTACCTGACTGAAGTGGGCGCCGCGTTGTCTCAGGAAATCCAACCCAACCCCTGGCTCGGGCTCCTCGAAATCTGGTGTTTCTGCTAGACTACCGTGACTACCTCTAGTCGATCAATTGTCAATTGTTAGTTAGTGTGCTTGGTGGGTGGCACCGGTGCTAGTACTGTGCGGGCGGGTAATCGAAGGAGATTTGTGCAGGCTAAGCCCAGCCAGTCCAAGGGCGTTTCCCTCTCCAGGGCTGTACTATGCAGTAGGTATCGAATCTTCGAGTTCAGGTTCAAGTTGCGTTGCCTACAGTACGATACCTTACAAGGATTCATCAACCCTGCTTCTGAAGTGTCCCAGAATGTACTGTACCCAAGAAACCGAGGCAGCCCATCCATCTCCCTAGCGGTAGCTGTCTTGATTCAAGATCACCCTCGTGATATTCGTTTTGTTTTGCATACAGATATCCAGATAGAATCGCACCAAGTCAGTCATACAACAACTCTGAGCCAGACTTCAATGTGAGATACAATTTACACTTGAACAGCTATCAACATCACACCTACCTTACAGTATGCTTGAAAACTCCCCCAATTGATAACTTGCCATACACCGTCCCCCGCCAAGGTGAAGAGCCACAGCCCTGAAACGAACCGCGGAGGACAAGAACTGCCCTTCACCACGGCCAAGGTATTCATTCTTCTTGGTCGCTTTGGGTATCACATCACTGCGCTGTGCTGTACTGTACTGTACAGACTGTACTTGCAAGGGACACGAACAATGTGGCCTCTTCTTTCAGTCCACCGAATCTTTCACCACCGCTGCGCCTCCCCGAGTCCAGCAGAATTGCAGCTACCTACCTACCCTAGGTAGGTACCCAGGTGATAAGTGGTATGTGCGTGCGTGCGTGCGTGCAGCAAATGTACCGCCCTCCAGACACGTCAGCTGCTATTTTAACGCCGTTAGTGAGCCTCTTTCAGGACGTGCTGCCCCTGGCTTCGAACGCTAGGGAGCCCTTCTTCGCAACCCTGGATGCTACCCTATGATTATGATCCAATTCAAGAAGCCACTTGCTATCGCCCATCGTCTACCAAAAGTAAAGCAAAAGTCATTATCGATAGATACTAGGTAGCCTATCTAGCGTTAGTGCTTGCCCTCAAGTTATCACTACTAAGCTGCCCGTCAAGAATACGAAAAGCGCACCCGTACCAAGCGCAGCGCGTCTTGAGACTATCAAGGGGAATACGGACGCCAGCCAAAAGCTGAAATGAATTTTTCAACTAAGTCCCCCCTGGCATCTACATATTCAGTCGCAGCAGTAAAGTCAGGTTAGCGGGCGAATCTGCACGAGGCAAGGGATCACCCCACCAAAAGAAGCGGAAGGAGAGCTCGTAATACCCAATGTCGGCGGGGAATGCCTGCCACCTGGAAATCCGCTCAGGGGCTTGCCCCCGTCGCGCGATCGACACTGGGCATGGAAGAGCCGGAACGCAGCGCAGCCACAGCCCAATCACCCATCAGATCTCGAGATTCATGTCTGCTTTTCAAGCTCCAAACCCTCCTAGAAGGGTTATGTATGTATGTATGTATGTATGTAGCCACGGAGACATGCTCAATCCCGAATCGCCGGCAGGAAAAGTCCCCTTGTAGACCCCTTCTCTGCACCACTGGTGACGACGCTTGAGGTCCACCACACCAAGCCGGGATGAGCTGGATGGAATGTGGTGAATTACACCGCAGATATATCAGGTCACGTCCGCACGCGTCTAACACTGGAACCTTATTGACAAAGTGTCACAATTATCTAAGTTGCTCAAAGACTATCTCTCCTAACGTCACTCGGCAAAGTAATATCAACGAAGCAACCGGAGAATTACTCGAGTAGGTAGGTGCTCGTGGACAAGGGGCCCTGGCAAGCCTCTTAGACGAACAATCCCAGGTATACCTCATCTTGAGACTTGCATCGATAGACTCAGCCCTAGAACAAGGCACCTCGAGCCTTCTTCTAGAGACGCCAAGAAACGCCGTCAACTCCCCCACACTGCATTGCAATCAGAAGATCACATCTGATTCAACATTTTCATACAAGACAACCATAACAAAGCCACGGCCTGGACCCTTCGCCTACAGGTCATCAATGCCAAAATGAGATAGCAGAGATAACGTGCCGAAGACTTTAGGGTATATTGCCACGAAGAAAACGCCAGCCACGCGTAATAAAAAAAAAACCATATTCGTACATTTTGAGAGGTCTGCATGCCAAGTGGCTACCAGAACCAACGGCAGAAATTGGTCGAAAGCCAGCGCGATTCGTTCCGGTCAAAATGCTCGAGTTCTAACTTACCTAAAAATCGATCCTCCGGCCGGTACGACATAATCTGCTTCGTGATGAGACCTGCGGTTATTGAGAGCGCAATGTGCTTGGGAAAAGGTAGAGGATTAAGGGGGTATGGAGGTATCCGTGGGTGTAGATAAGGGTGAAGTTGCACTACAACTACGCCATCATCAGGCCAGCGGACTGGTTTGTCGGACCGTGGAGATGAAAGATCGTGTAAGGACCTATGTTCGACGACGCTTGACGGCTGTAGCAATGTTAGTCTACCCGCAGACGAGACTCTCAAACACGGACGACATACCATTTTCATCATCCAGGCCAGCTTCTGTATCCAATTGTCTGCTTCTCTTTGCAGAGTTGCTTGACAGGTTAGTTTCATTTCCGTCCAGAATCTCGTCTTCGTCGTGATCCCAGTCAATTTCATCAACTCCAGAGTCAAAGGAGTGCGGGGCGTCGGTAATAGCGTCAGTGACAGCCGGCGCCGCCATCACATCATCGTCAAAGTCGATTTCTTCCCCGTTCAGGGTGTTGCTCGCGCTTGTATTATCGGATACAGGTGGTGGTGTTCCAGATTGCGCAACATCCAAGGGGATTTCTAGAGTATCTGGAAGACGTGAAGGTGTCGTATTTACCTCTACAGGTGCCTCAGTTTCGAGTAGATCTTCGGCAGCTGCATAGTCAATCTCATGCTGCGCATGACTGCTTTCGTCATTTGATTGAGGAATTGTTAAAGATTCATTATCATGCGGATCAGATGGTGCCTCACCTAAGGAACATGGCAAGTTAGTCTTTGGATGAAAGGGGTGAAAGTTGCATGGAAAGAACCTACCACCTTGGTTCGCATCTTGTACTTCAACTTGCTCGTCAAACTCTTCATTGTCATCATAGTCGAAGAGCTCTTCTTCTTGCGCCGCATCAATTACTTTGTTTTCTTGCGCCTCTCCATTTGCATGATGGTCCTCGGGATGATTGAAGTCAATCCCTTCTCGCTTTGCCCAGTTGGAGTCTATGCCGGATTCTGCAAGTACCTCTTCATGACCTTGTTCGTCAAGATTTTGCAAGAACTCGTCTTCCATCTCAGTTTGCTGGATCTCTGCTTCGCTATGATCAGGAGCCTCAGGGTACCCATCGCCTTCTAGAAATTCCGTATGGGTTATTTGTGTCACCTCTTCAACACCGTTCCCAGTGAACTCGGTATTGCCATGCTCGGAATCTATCTGCTCGATGTCGACGGTCACCGTTTCCTCAATAAGTTGCTCCACATTGTCATCTTCACCGGCATTATCTGCAGCGATAGAGTGGCTGTCGTTTATGGAGTCACCAAGGGCCTCGCCTTCCGGAGAGGCGCCATGGGACCCGTTACCAAGAGCATCATCGCCAGGCGAAGGGGCATCAAAATAGCGTTCGAAAGAGGACAAACCCTTGCCGTCAGTAACGCCACTGGTCAGTTCACCAAATCGGTTCAGGCAATTTGGGCGTGTAATCAAATACACATAGAGGTTACGGGAAGCTGCAGCATCATCCAGCTTCACCAGACGATCGTGAAGGTCGATGATTTGGCCGAAGGTCGTCCGATCAAGGAATTCTCTTGTCGTAGTCTGATATCTAGTCAGCTACAGTTCTCGAGCGGGATGGGGTTTAAAACATACCTCACCAAATTCGAGTCCTAGGCCATCGACTCGCAGCACGATTTCATCTTGAGGAGAAACCTCGCCCGCAATGATGCCACGAATCTTAGTCAAGAAGTCGCACAGCGGCTGATTTAAAGCTTCAGTGTCTGCGAGGAAGTATGTATTCGGGTCGTCGTCGGGCGACTCCGCAAAGAGCGAGTATTCGTCGTGACGATAACAGAACGTCACATCTGGCTGTGCAGCTGCAAAATCCTGGCTGTTATAGGCATTACCGTCTTCCATAGAATACGCAGACTCATCATATTCGTCGTCAAGTATGTCGCTAGACTGAGCGCCTTCAGGTAGGGGATCCACTGCATTAGCGTCATGCTCGTTTTCATCTGCTTGACCATTGCCATCGAGAGCGCCGAGTTGGGGGATGAGAGTTGCATCGTGTCCTGGAGAAAGACCCTCTTGTCTCTCAGCTCCACCTTGCGGCACTTCCCCAGTTTCACCATGAGCTTCGCTTACGGACGGAAAATCCGTCGCTTGGAGGTCAGACTCGTCCACAGTCTCCTGTCCTGATTGAAAATCCTCGGAGCCCTGGACGCCTAAGTGCGGAGCCTCTGAATTGCTTCCGTCTTGACCCGTCGCCTCCGCGTCGTTTCCAACATCGTAGTCCAATCCCTCGTAACTCTCATTCGTGTCCTCCACATCTTGATCCTCCTGTGCCATAGAATCGCCCATCTCCTCGTCGATAGCAGGCACATGAAGAGACTCACCAATGTCATCGTGATCATAGTCGATCTCGTGCTCGCCAACATCGTCTTTTACCTCTGCATCGTTACCCTGGGTGTCCTCTTGGGTCACTTGATATGACTCGCCATAGCTGTCGACGTCATGACCATTAGCATGCTCCGTCAACTCGATTTTGTTATCTATTCCAGTTTCAAGATGATCGCCCTGTACAATATTTCCATCGCCAAGGTCGAAATCAAAGTCATCCCCTGGCGCTTTGCCGACATCAAACTCGGTATTATCGTAATCGATTTCATGTTGCAACTCAGCATGAGGCTGATCGCCTAGGACGCCTTCCATCATGGTGATATCTGTGGTGTGCCGCGATACTAAGCTTGTTCTGTAATGGCTATTGCCGGCGGACTTAAGAGAGCGGCCGGATAATGTTGACTGTCTGTACGTTGCAGTTTCAAGAAGAACTCATGGTGGTCACAGCTTGGGGATGTCGACGGATTTATGTTGTTAAAATTTGTCGAATAGTAAATATCGTGATGCGGAGACCGGAAGAGTGAAGCGTTTCCCACCTTCGAGAGCTGGCGACTTCTGACTCAAGCTGTCCAGGCTACCAGATCTTGGGCAACACAAAGCTGACGAGGGCTCCCAATCTCTCCTTAGGTAATAGACTAGGCTACCGTAGAAGATGCCAGATACTAGGCGTGACAGCTGAGTGAACTGTGATGCAGGTGATAGTTCTTGTTGCACACAGCCGATTGTATTTGTTGTTGTCGGATCGTTTGATGTTTTGGGTCGGTAGGTAGCAGGAGGAAGGAAGGAACGTCTCTGACATGCAGGGCGACGCGACCAAAGAAAGTGCGGCGGAAGCTGGACAGACGCCTCACCACTTTTGGTCTAGCTTATTTCGCAGTCCAAAGTGTCGCTGGCAGCCTTGCTTGGTGCACGGGCCAAGCCCACATAAAGGACAGAACAGCACCATGAATTAATTGATAGTGGTGGAAGCTGTCGAGACCAGCCAGGTGGACCTGAACCCCCCTTCCCCTTTGCCTACCGATCAATTGTCCAGAAACACTCCACAAGACAGCCAGATTAGTCGAGTCCTCTTGTTCTGGTCGTCAAGATGGTATGTCATCATAGAGCTGCTGGAAGCAGTCAATTAGCTAACGAGACTTTGTCTAGGTCGTCCTCGCTGCCTCCATTTGTACCCGTGGGGGTAAAGCGGTGCTGTCGCGACAGTTCCGCGAGATGCCTCGATCTCGAATCGAAGCCCTCCTCGCCTCCTTCCCAAAGCTCGCCGATAGCAGCACGCAGCATACGACCGTTGAGCAGGATAATGTTCGCTTCGTATACCAACCGCTGGACGAGCTGTACATGGTTCTCATCACCAACCGCCAGTCCAATATCCTCCAAGACATCGATTCCCTACACCTCTTCGCCCAAGTCGTCACCACTACCTGCAAGAGTCTAGACGAGAGGGAGATCACCAAAAATGCTTACGAGCTACTCAGTGCCTTCGATGAGCTGGTAACTCTAGGTTATAGGGAGAACCTCACCATCAGCCAAATCAAGACATTCCTGGAGATGGAGAGTCACGAGGAGCGCATCCAGGAAATTATCGCAAGGGTACGGCTGGCTGTCCATCTATGGACTTTAGGAGGAGCTAACCATTTCGTAGAACAAAGAATTGGAGGCCACCGAGGAGCGCAAGAGGAAAGCCAAGCAGCTCGAGATGCAGCGAAAGGAATCAGCACGTAGTGGCCACGGCGGAGGTATGGGTGGCATGCCTCGAACTCCAGTCTATCCAACATACACCCCTCCGTCCCGTCCTGCTGTCACCGATACATATGACACATACGAAGCTGAGAAGAACAAGAAGTATGCAATGGTGGCTACCAATGTAGGCGATGTTGCTAATATGGATACAGGTTCTCGGCGCCGAAGGCAAAGGGCATGCAATTGGGCAAGAAGTCCAAGACCACAGATATGTTCGAGCGAGTACGGGGAGATATGGGACCGGAAGTCGATGATACGCCTCTCGTGCCTGTTGCCGCGACCCCGACTGCTGTAGAGCCCGCTGCAGCCCGCACATCCACAACCCTTGACAGGGATGCCATCCACGTCACCATCTCAGAGTCTATCACGGCCAAACTCTCACGGGAGGGTGCTGTCAACTCTATCTCTATCAGCGGTGATCTGAACCTCCGCATATCCGATGCCACCTTGACCAAGGTCAAGCTTGCTCTCAATGCAACTCCCACACACGGTGCCCAATTCCGGACACACCCTAACGTGGACCGTAACCTGTTCAACAGCTCCAAGGTCATTCAGATGAGTAATACAGCCAGGGGCTTCCCCGTTAATAACTCGGTTGGTGTCCTCAGATGGCGCGCCACTCCTAAGGCGGACGACACAAGTGCTGTGCCGATCAGCTTCACCGTCTGGGTTAATAAGGGCTCTGATGGTAGCTATACCATGACCGTCGAGTATGAGCTAACCGGGGGAGACTCGCTCAAGGACGTCAGTGTTGTGATCCCGTACTCAAGCAGCGAGCCCACAGTCTCGAGCTTCGATGCTACGTATGATGTCTCAGGAGACAGCCTAGAATGGACAATTGGAACAGTCAATGAGGACAACCCCAATGGCTCATTCGAATTCGAGGCGCAAGCTGATGACGAGAACGAGTTCTTCCCCATGCAAGTTCGATTCTCGAAGACCACGCCTTTTGTGGATGTTGATGTAAGTTATAACTGTCTAAATGGTGACCTACAGGCTTCTAACACATCTATAGGTTACGTCAGTAGCTCTCGTCGAGGAAAACGAGGACGTGACGTTCTCGAAAGAGATCAAGTCTCTTGCAGAGTCCTATTTGATCGAGTAAACGATGCTCAAGGTTGGCGATACAGGATGGCTTTGGTTTTCAAAAAGGCATTATCCAGCGGCTGGTCTCGGTGTCTATAATGAATTGGTAGAGCTTGACTAGAGATGAAGCAGACATGTGAATAAAAGTGTTGCAGCTCATGAAAGCTTATGCCCAGTAAAACATTTCGCCCATGGACAGTTTCACGTCTTGTTACAAACCAGATGTTAGTAACACACCAATCTTGAACCTTCTTAGAGACGAAACTCCCCAATCATTTACGTGCGTTGAAATTCTTTTGTGAGCATCAAGTATGGTGTGATTGCCTGATGATGATAATTGTCTTTTGGTATGGCAGGCGCTAAGGAGGGGTCGCTCACTGTGAGGAGTGCTGTATTTCTGCCACTAAAACGCGGTCAGGACCACAACGCGTCTACCGCTTCTGATGAGCAGGCAAACCAACGACAGAGCGAGGAACGGCACAAGGAGATGTCTGAGCGACACTATAACTCTACGTAATGCAAGTCCAATGTATCAGGAGAATCCCAGAGTGTGCCTTCGCATAGTGCTATCTGCCAAGCATGGCCGCCCCTCCACAGCTGAAGCTCTTCAGCAGCAGCACATTTGATGTTCCGGTATCAAATGGGCTCGTCTCAACATCACCGGTGATCGATCTTGTTGCAACCATTCATAATGACAGCACCCTCTGCTTTTGGAGGTCTGGCGGGCAGTCGGTGGCCAAGTTAGTTGATAGAACTACACCAGCTGTTACGGCAAAGGCTCTCAGATGGAAGACAGATGGTGGTCCTCAAGCCTTCAATCACAGGTGAACATTCGACTAATGCTGTTGGCAGGATCATATGTTGTGCTTGGACTTAGCAATAACTTCGTCCGGCTGGTATCCATGGAGAGCCACAACACTGTGTTTGCATTACCTATAGGAGAAGCAGATGATACCACAATCGCTTACATTGCCGGGGGTCGCAATTTGACTGGGCAGCACCATCTCAGGAGAATCGAGAAGGGCAAGAAGTCATGGCAAGCTCTATTATCAGACACCACCGGCCTTGACCGTGTCCAAGATGAAGATAATCTTCATGCCATACCAGACCTTCCACATGAGCTCACTTTTCTCGAAATCGATACCGCCCTTCCCAAAATAAGCCCGTTACCTATGTCAGGAGGAACAGGGTATGTATCATAGTCTCCAACGCGGATCTTTACATAGCTAATAGGCCCAGGGAGGATTCATTGCTTTTCGCCACAAGACAGGGTCTTGATATCTGCTTCCCTGCTTTGCTTCCAAACGATGTCAATTCAGTCGAAATCACCATTGTTGGGACAGACGACGGCCGCATTCACCTTTACATCTACGACATCTTGGTGGTCGGCAGCTTTAACTATGGCTCCAACCCAGGGCAGGAAAAGATACCGCCTCTGCAACTCTGCCATCATGCCTCTCATTCTGAAGTCTCCACGCACTCTCTCCTCCTTCGACCTCGAAACGGCGAACCCAACACCCTGTACCTTGTACCCATGGATCTTCACTTTGTCTCCTATTGTCCTGTCAATCTCCCCCTGTTAGCCCACAAGACACGAACGTTTCAGACATTGCTCAGATACATCAAACAAACTTATCTCCATATGAAGAGCGAGTGGAAGTCCACACGAGAGTTGCCCTCACGTTTCTTACTTGGCATCACGGAAGACCTACAATCCATGCCAGGCGGCCCGGTAAGTATTGTGCAGGCATTGTATCACACTGTTGTGACTGGCCACGTCTATCCACCCGTGAAGGAGTGGCTTGTCGATAGTCTCGCTGAAAGAGTGAGTGACTTCTAGTATGGAAGATATCTCTCGAATTACCTGACTGACGGCCGGATAGGGTCATAAGCGCTGGGACAAGGCCGTTGTAGAGGGACTGATAAATCTCCGCCATCTCGTCCACGAGAACATGCTCCCCGCGCTCGAGCGTTGCTCCCTGATTCTTAGTCGGCTACTAGGACTTGCTCGCTTCCACGAGTCCGGAGACTCCATCGGCTTCAGCACTGCGCTGATCTCGCGCTTGATCGACATATTGTCGGCCGTGACGCTCGCGTGTCACAAGATCCTGCTCATAGTCATGGAAGAGCTCGATCTTTGGGGCGTTTTCTCAGTCTGGCTGAGGTTCATGATCGACCAGCTCGCGTCCTCCTCCGCAGCCGAAGAGCTCTCCGAAAAGGAGGCAACCATGGACAATGGGAAGGTCCTCGCATACATACAGAAATATCTGCTCATGAGCCCGCTGAGCATATTCCTTGGGGATTCGACCCAGGAGAACCGGGACATTGCGAAGCCTCACGTAGGAGATGGCCAGCCCTGTCTGCTCGAAATGCTTGACACGCACATCAAGAAGTTCGAGGCCGGACAGCAGTACATGAAGGCACTGCCCTCGCTTGACTTCCTCCTCGACCTCTTCAACAGTCGGTCCAGTCTTGTCGCCACAGGGATTGCAGAGGCGCTGAAGAGAAGCGTGCGCTTCGGCAATCAGCCAAGCAAGATCGACGTTGGTGGGTTGAAGATCTCCGACTACGACCTCAAAATGTGTTCTGTGAGACGGCCGGACGGGATCGACGGCCTAACCTATACCGCCATCACGATTGAGGAACGACCAGGCGACAGTATGTCTCTATTTGTCATGATTCATCTGCGTCCCTTTTTGATACTAATAGGAGTTGCTAGTATACATTTTCCGCACGAGCATCCAGGTCATCAATGGCATCAGCGGCGCTGTTGTGATGACCACGGGTGGCTTGTCCATACAAGGGGGCACCATAGTAGACTTCAAATTCCTTGATGACGACACTTTGCTAGTGCTATGGTATCCTGAAGGTAAGGCAGCTTGTTTCTGCCAGATAGTATATGAAAATCTGCGATACTGACGTCTTCATGCAGGCAAGTCACCTTCTGTCCTCCAGGTGCCGTTATCGGCCTCACATATCTCCTACTCGCCGCACACCGAAGGCTCACTTCCTCCGGCGCGTCCCGTCGCCATGACTGATCTATCACCAATGGCACTCCCAGACGATCCGAAATTCGCGCCGGTACGAATGGAAGTCAAGCCAGCGGCTACCGCTAGAGGCGATATCCCTGTGAGGATATGTCTGCTCGGAAGAGATAAAACTACCTACAAAGTCTTCACCCTGCCCGAACACAACGTCTCGAAGTAGGGCTTCGAGATGGAGGTTGTGGAGGAGGAAGAGGAATGAAACGCCACGGGATCATGATCTCTCATGTTTACACGGTTGTATGATAAAATGAAAAAATGGCAGTAGGGAGAGAGGTCAGATTAGACTCGGGCATTACAGTAGCAGGGCAACGTCTCGCTTTCATAAGTCTTACATAGACAAGTTGATATATTCAGAACACTACAAGCAAAACGCCCACACTGATACTTTCATTCGCACCCGCCATTTTAAGCCGCGCACCGAAGATCATTTCTTCGGCTTGGTAATATCAAAGAACTCCGTGAGGCCCTTGACCACGACATCGACGTTCATGTTGACCAGCGGCATCTTGTCGCCCGAGCCCTCCTTCATGATTGCGACGAGCGCCAGGTACTTATCCACCTCGCGCAACATGATGGGCCGGCTGCCCTCGGCCACTACGACAGCGCTCTCGGCCCAGTTGCACGCGACCTGATCCTCGAGCTTCTGGTTCCACGGCGGGCCCTCGAGCTGCTCGCGGTACCCCTTGGACCGGTTCCAACTGCCGTAGACCTCCGTCACGTCGATGATCACGTCGATGTAGTCGGAGCAGATCTCATATGATGCCATGTCTGCGGGTGCGCTGTCCGTGGCGATGTAAATCTTGCTGAGAACATCGAACAAGTACGCCTTCTCAAAGCGGCATGTACGGCACAGCGAGGTGAGCATTGCCTCCAGTTGACCGAGGCGCGGAATCAGCTTCTGAATGACCTTGCTGAAGGCCTCGAAGATAGAGTGGTTGTAGATACTAGTCAGGTGGAATGTTACAGGCGCGTTTTCGAAGCCCTCATCGGAGAGCTCGTCCTGAATGCGGATAGTGATATCTCTCTGGATATCCAGTTTGTAGTCGTCCGATAGACCGTCAACTTTGTGAATGAACACCTCGATATTTATGTTCGGATATGTCCGTTGCAGATTGAGGATGGTGTTGTTCAGTCTCGCAACAGCCTCGAGATAGTCATCTTGTGCGTCGATCACCCATATCAACGCCCCTATCTCACCGAATACAGCCTCGATGTCGAAATTTGGGTTATCAAAGACATCAATCTGGCCGGGGAAGTCCCAGACTTGAAAATCCATGAACGATCTACAGCTCGTTTAGCATAATGACGACAGATCTTTCTATGAGAGACTTACGCCATGGAGTCTTTTTGTATGCGCGCGGTCGACTCTAAGAACAGCGTCTCGCTGGGCGGAAGCTTGTGAAACACAACACTCGATATAGAAGATTTGCCACTCCTGATATCGACACATCAGCGATGCTAAGAATGGGCCTCTCTAGAATCATACCTTCGTTGTCCCATCAACATAAGCTTGGGCTTTCCCTTTGCTAATAAACCTGCCGCGGGTTCAGGCTCCGGGGCTTTTGCGCCATCTTTTCGTTGGAGGCGCTGTCGATTCTGTTCAAACACACGTTCAAGATTTAGCGTTGCTGGACTCATGAACCTGACAGGGCTTTTCTGTCGTCTACCCAACTTGCGAAATGCAGGGATATCGTCATCAGAGCTCTGGGTAGACATAATGAAATGGTGATAAGGGGGTCACTGTCGTCGCTACTGCGCATCTGGGTAAATGCTTCCACAACAGGACCGTGTTCACGACATGTATATGCCGCATCAGCTGAAGCTCGACTTGTTGTGTGCTGGCTGCCGCTACCGAAACAAGGCGCTGGCAGTAATATGTTTGCACATGACGACTATGGGATCTCGCTCGGCAACGGCCCGTCACTACGGGAGTCTGTTTGCCAGATCCGCAGCAAGCCCTCGAATTCGATGTTGGCATCCACTAGATCTGGAAACGAGTGACGAGGTGCCTGCCTCGCTTCGGGAGATGACAGGCTGGGCGTCATAAGATGAAGGCTAACACTAAGTACCTCGGATTGTCGGTCTCCTCCGCTGGCTCTTCTTACTTAAGACAGGACAAACCAGAGTGACAGGTTGGCAAAACACGGTGATCTTCCATCTTACGGTCGTACAAATAGTCGGTGGCTCAGCGCTATCACCTCTGGAGAAGGTGTGACTCAACTAGAGTCATACCTAAGGCGGCTGAAGTGACACTTGTGAGGGCCGCTGGCGAACAACGGGGATCGGTGGGAAGGGACCAGATATGGTTGATCCTGTCTCTTGGTGGGGGAAGCGAAGTGCGGTGATGCAGACAGCGTTTAAGACGGGCACTTGACCCTTGTCCTGCGCTACGACGGGCACCCAATGCAATAGGCCAAGATGTCGCGCACCGGCTGAGACAAGCGATAGTCCCAGGTTTCGCTCTGAAAACGAAGGCTGAAAGAACAATTGGAATGTCTTACCTCCATGGCTGTTAATGACTATGGGGCGTTGGCCCTAGAGTCTGGTGTTGGGAGCGCAATCCGGTTGAGCGACTGGCTCGTCACTTTACCCAGGGTCCCTCAGGACCATGGGTTTCTATGGCTGTGGCGACGGAGCAGGGCAACCTGGGCTCGAGTGTCAGGATTATCTATTTGTCAAGGAGTCATTTCTGTCGAGACCAACCTGCTATTGGATTGACAGTAAGCACATGGAACTCCTTAGGCTCGGCAGGCGACGATGAATGAGAGACTGCCCGCGCGGCTCAGCTGATTCGACAATGTCGCTCGGACCAGGTGAGAAATTCAGTAGGTGTGTCGGTGGGAAAAGGTAGGGAGGTCAGGCCAGCGCTGGACGGGCGCACAAACAGCTGTCCGTGTATAGGCACAGATCAACAGCCAGTTTGATAGATGGCAAACAAATATCTGGCTGGGCAGGTAGATCCAGGTTTGTTGCAGTAGCACCAGCGAGCGTTGATTGCGTCGATGGACGGATGGAAGTTGGATGTCTCCGCCTTGTCAACGCGATCGGCTTATGATTGGCGAACATTTCGGGGGGCTCCAGGTGCCCAGTTCCCTAAAACCTTATCTTGGAGCACACTACCTTAGCTTCAATTGCAATCACCATCACAGCCTTGCATTCTCATCAATCCTCTGAACCTGTATGGCACAAGGTAATTTACTCTATACGGTCAATGAAGAGGAACTTCAAGCTACTCTTCACAAGCAAAGAGCCTTGATATCGTCTCTCTATCAGAACCCCGCTTATGACTTGTCTATAGCCGGTTGCTGGTAGTGTGTTCGTGCATTCGCCCTTCACAATCGTTTCTTTACAATGATGTCTATAATCGCTACGTACCCAGTCATTAGCCATAACTCACCGGCTACTTTTCGAAAAAGAGAGACCTCTTGTCGAAACCGTTTTGGCCTGTAGCAGCGATTGATGTTTGTACGCACCGAGCTTATACTACTGGCGGCACCTTTTCGTTCCTTGACGAGCTTCGACCGAACAACGACGACACAAAGCCGAATTTTCGTTTGCCGGCTTTGATGCTTAGGGGCTTGTCTTCCGTCGGTGATGGGAAAATCGTAGCCAGGCCCGGTGCCGAAGAGTTGTTGTCTTCAGCGCTCGCCGGCGGTGTCAATTCCGGGATTGGAGTCGTCCTCAATGAGGTAAGAGACTATAAGCTGTGTCAGCATCAAGCCTTCTCTGCTCATCTCTCCTGAGAATTGCAGATTCAGTTATTTATGAAGTGTGGGCTGCTCACCCGCATACTAAGACGGTTCTTCGACCTCGTTCTCACAGGTGGAACGGTGCCGTTGACTTCATCGTTACCATTGGAGGTTCTTTCCAATTCTTCAATTTCCCAAGCCACAGTCTTTCCATTGTAAGCCAGATTCTCCTCTTGCAGTGGGACGAAGCGTAAAAGGCCCCGAGGTGGGGCAACTCCCAGTGACTCCTCCATATGCTTCGAAATGAGGGCCGAGTTTCTCTTGTTTGTTGTCGGTTGTAGCTGCGATGACAACGCGAATATCGACATCACATATGCCGGCTCGAATGTTCCGCCGAAGAACATACAGAGACCATGTTGTAAGTTCACCACGATCGAAGAGACCGGCCTCTGGAATCGAGACGATAGGTGATAGGAGAACTCAGTAATGAACGCGAACTCGTCACTAATCTGGTCACATTGTTTAGCAGTGATTACAGATCATTCGTTTGCCACAGAAACCACTCACTATGACATTTGTCCTGACTTCTGCCATGACAATGGACTCGCAGCGTATGCGTTCTCGGACGGGATCTGTTTCCTTTGCAGAAAAGGCGTCTTCGAAATAGGCGCTCCTCTGCTTTCTAAGACTGACTCCAGAGGCTTGCTTCCGAGGTCGACTGACATCTCCAGGTGGCGGACGAGTGACTCTGCGCAACAGATTGTCGCCGTTCACGATCTCAGGAATAGGGGTCGGCTTTGGGCTGGCATTCAAGACCGCTTTTCGTTCTGCGAATGACCGAGGAACAGGGCTCGAAAAAGCTACTGCTTTTGGCACAGTCCGTCTCTGAGGGTCTATTAATTCCGTAGCCATCTTCTTGACCTCGTCGGGTTTTACTCTCGAAGATAGACCTGCTGAAGGGATAGGTCAGACTTTGAAAAGTCTGCCGCGAAGTCGTTTGTCTGATGACTGGCGTTGTGAACCGAATAGAATAGATAACAATAACTGAATGAACAAATCAAATTGCCAAATCAGCAATGGCTTTTCCAATGCCTATGATAGGCGTTATTCACGGTGTCGTGCAGTTATTGAAATGTAGTCCGATTTTCCAAAGAAGGATCAAGTTTCGACACCCAAACGCACCAATTCCAATCGTAAATTGATGTTGCACGGGTTCTTATCCAACTAGGTATCTTGGAACAGCAAATATTAGACGCAAAGGCCAAGTAAACGTGCCACATGTGCGACCACGAGGGATGGGACGAAATACAGGATCCAGGACCACAACAAAGGGAAAATACATCTACTACTTATTCGGTGGCAGATTCGTCTTAGGCGCTCACTGCAGCCTGTACGTCAACCTGGGTAGGAAGGAGATATCGAGGCTGGACCAAGGGAAGATAATGGCAAGTGCGATGAAGCCTGAACCTACTGCTCTTACCATTTCTAGCACAATTACTCTAGCCACCGGCCAACGGTCTTACCTGGTCACTTCGCTCGTCCGTTTGCTGCGGTGCAGGTTCTGGTTCGGGCCAAAATTGATACTCAGGATCGGCTACGTGCCTGTTAATATATTGCTGATAGGACTTATCTGTGGCTTTGCACAGAGCCGTATGTGCAGTTATATGACGGCGATACGGAGCTCAAGGCTACCAAGCCCGCTTCTGGTTGCACAGGCTACAGCTCGCGGGTGACTGCAGCCATAAGTACCACTTTGGTCGGCACAAAAGCAGGTTCAGCAAGATAACGCAGGATCGGGCGACACAGCAGCGCTCTCATTTCCCATTGCTGAATGTTGCTAGAGGTGAAAGTGTAGACCAGTGGGCGCCATGCTCAGCCTCCGCCTGACGATGCAGGACCAGGGAAGAACACCAGAAATAATGGCAATTCAGAACCCAAGCCAGCAATTTTATGAGCCAAAGACAAGAACTATCCGTAGCAGCCCCAGAATTGCCAAAGTGAGTCGGGGGTATTGATCGCTTCATCCATCTGATAAGGCAAAAGGCGCTTTGGCTTGGCAAATAGATAGGTTTTGATAGATATCCGTCCCGACACAGAGGGTCCTTGCAACATGCAATAACATGCCGGATAAGCGACCGTCCAGTAATTTAGAATCCTCAAACGCCGCTTCTATATACCCAGCCACTGGTTTCAGGTCGTCGTCTCTCCATTCAATCATCCCGTCCCGGCGGATCCCGCTGCTCGCGCTCATTAACCTCATGTATCTACAAGCGCAACACAGTGGGTTTACCAGTATCAAGCTATCTGCAGCATTTATCACAGCGTGGGAGCAGTACACAGTACCGTGGCTCAGATCGTGGGGGTAACCCTTCTGTCATTAATCACTATTGGTACACTTTAACGGTCTAATGCCGTGACCTTGCCCTCGCGAATCTCTAATAACACAACTTAACGTTTGCCTGCGCAATCGAGACAAGATAAGACTGAGACTAGCAGCACCTTTGTCTTGTCTTCTCTTCACATGTGAATGCCGCCGATATCATACCTTGACCACTTTGAGAGGCCGAGGCACCATGATTGGCGCTGCTCAAGCGACAGGGCTCCCCTTTCTTGCGCGAGCATAGGCGCTGGTGAATTTCTCGACCTTGAGCTCCCATCCGGCCAAGCCCAGAGCTATAGCCTCGATGGGGATGAGCAGGATGGACAGGTAGACACCGGCGCGGCTCTCCTTGCATAGGGTCCCGAAGTGGGGTTTCAGATCCATTGAGACCATGTGCCACCGGCATGTCCAGCTAAGGAGAGTATCCACCGTATTGGAGGCGTTGACGGCATAGAAGAAAACCATGGCAATAAGTGCCGCCACCAGGCCAACTAGGGGAGCCGCGAACATCACCGGGGTGTGGACGGGTGTGTTGTGTCGAAGCTATAGTAGTGCTAGTGTTAGCCCCAGATCGACAATCAGAACTAGACGATAGCTTCAAAGTCTTTTCCCAGAACCAGTAAGGAAAGCGATGAAACTCGAACCACAGAGTGGCAAATAACAAAGGGGGGAAGGCCTTACGTATCTGACCTTGCTGCAGAGCAGGGCGACGATGTTTGTTACCGTCACAATGGAACTGCCAACGACTAGTGCCACCGTGGGGCGAATATTGAACTCATCGGGCCAGAGCGACAGGGGAAAATCGTGCGATACTGATGTCGTGTTGTAGACATTCAGGGCATCTCCGGACACACCAAGGACTGTGATCCCGCAGAGAAGAGCCAGCGTGGTGACGCTGATGCGGGCGCCATCGAGCAGCCGCAGTGTGCGGGTCTTCGCCTGGAGGTGGAGGTCATGGGACTCAACCTCAGCGTCGGAATAGGAGGCCTCGTTCTTCATATTGCTGGGTCTGACGTATCGACGTTTCCAAAGAAACACGCGTGTACCGCACTGGAAGGGATCAAGGCAAGGATATAAGTGAAGGAGATATTTCACCAGGAAAGATCGTGAGAGAAGCAAAGGAGAGACAGGCTGGGGACACTCGCGAAACTCGAGAAGAAGGAGCAGCCGCGGGCAGTGATCGCCTCAAATAAGGATCTTGGTCGCCCGTGGGCAAGCCATTCCATGCTTTCACATCCCACACTTACATAGAGATAGGCGCCGGCAAGCCTGCCGACTGTGTTTGTGTGTGCGTGAGAGTGAGAGAGAGACGCCGGCTCCAATGCCGTGCGGCCAGCATCGACAAGACTTGGGCTATATTGCGTCTCCTAATTATGGGATCTCAACCAGGGAGCGATGACAGATCCGGGCCGCCCAGACACCAAAATTATCAAATTGACGAAGCGCGCATGCAAGTACTAAGGCTCTAAGGCTCTGGGCTGCCACCCGCGAGGAGGTCGGACTGCTGCTGTTGGTCACTCTGAGGCAGGTCAGTGTGCCGGAAATAGACGTTGGTGATGCGGATTGGCTGAGGAGAAGTGCTGGGAGTGCTGTGAGTGCCAATGAAACCGATCCTACAGATGAGCTCAGGGCAAGCGACCGGGGTCGCTAGGGGAAAGGGATCGTCTCAAGGGGCCGCCGCTAGGGCCAGCGCTTAAAAGCACGAAACATAAGGGGATCGACAGGCCAATCGTTTCGCGGGCGCCTCCAACCGGTTAGCGCACTGAGACGGCCAATACACACACATACCGCACAAAGCATAACCTTACCGCCCCCCTGGCAGCCCATCTGGCAAATGATGCTATTTGCGATTTGAGATTCGGAGACATCCCGTAGATATCCCGTCATCCGCGTGTGTGTAGCTGCGTCTCGCATGGCTTCACAGAGTTGCTGCCGTACATCCACGGTTGCGCTCGTGCCCGTGCCCGTGCCGGATATATTAATGCTGCACGTCGGTTCAGTGATGTCCAATCCAACAACCACAGCAGCCAACATTAGAAATCCTTTGCATGGACATGCTTGTCTCTCTCTACACATAACTTGACCCAAATATGCACACATCTGTATTTCTGGTCATTGCACGTGACCACTGGTCCCATGTGACATATCACAGCTCTCCTCACGTGTGCCCTCTCAGTCAATGCCGGCGGACGTCCGAGGGACAGCTGCAATGTCAGACTAGAGATCATGGAATGTGTTCAGCAATACGAGAGGAGATTACAGAGTCGCAGCAGCAGCAATGGTGCGATGGAGAATGAGACGAGCTATGCAGAGATGCAGAGCAAAGCACCTGCCAGAAATTGTCACTGCGGAGACGCTCGGAAATGTTTTGCAGCAATTTGTCTGGGCCCCTTCGGACTTTCAGGGCTTGGGGGCAGCGCAGCACGCCACCGGTGTTCTCGACCACTCCGAAAGGCGTCGGGGCATGCGGCAGCTTCAATAGCTTCGGTTCGTCCTGCCACGTGGATTTGACACCCCACGGCTCCTCCTAGGGTACCTAGCGCCACCTAGTATAGGTACCTTCTGCCGCAGTAGTGCCCCTAGTGCCCCGAGCTGCCCCTCGTTGTAGACAAGTCTCTGACCCTGACTCCCTGGGCATCCGGAAGGCTCCATCTTTCAGCACACCCAGGGCCTGGAGAAAGTCGCCCTGCTTCCCCGTCATCTCATCCATCCATGACCATCCATGGCCATGATCCACCAGCCCCCGCGGACTCCTCTCTTTCATCACTCTCGGGTTCCTCCGATGTAGTATTCGTGTATGTATGTGTGTGACTGGATGCGACTGAGATCCTCACGAACACATTGAGGTCTCCGAATCATCACGGACATCTCATCATACCTACCTCCATACGTGCGAGAGAAACACACATACACTCAGACAAAGAACGTCAAGAAACAGGGTCATGCCACAGATGAGCCGAGATCTCTCGAGGCTTCCCTGCCCGCGACGAACGGACGTCGTGGCTTGCCACTAATGCCGTCCTGACTCGTCCACCCCCCACAAGGCGATACCCGAGGACGTGGTATGTAGGGATCCTTGGGATCTAAACAGCGCCGTACCGGGCAGCTGGGTCAAGACCATGCAGGAGCCAACTTGGTGTTGGTGACCGCCGGCACCAGAGGGCTTTGCTCTGCAGTAGAGGCACCAATCACTGCATCACCGTCTCATCTGGCACGGGGAGCGATTACCATACGAGGAAATGCTAGCGAATCTTTGACATATGCCCTCAGAGTTTTCTCGTCCCTCCCCCCCCCAAGACATTCCGGCGGGTCGCCTGGTGAGCCATGCACCGAGCCCTTCCGGCTGGACTAGACCTGAGCCAGCCAGACGAGCCAGATGAGCTGTCAATCTGCCCCCCCTGCTGCGTCCACCCCTACTGCTACTCTACAGACTTCTGCTCTGCATCGCCGGCGTCCCGATGTCAACATGTCTGCGGCCATTTTACGGCCGTTACACGCGAGATGCGGGCTACTGTCGAGGGTCCTGAAGATCGTGTTGTTTATTCTCCTCTGTCGTAACACCAAATCACATGGATCCTGACACATAGAGTATGCATCAATGCCGGGCATTTGTCTTAGTCTCCTTAGTAATTATGAGAGCAGCCCTTGACACTGCAACGCCCCCCCTGTCTGTCGCCTTTGAACCCCTCCGCCCAAATCAGCCCCCCTTCCTTCTGCCGTTGCCCTCTCGCCCGTGCTCAGATCATATTCACGATCTGTGATGTAAAAAAAAGTCTCTTCAATCTTGCTTGGGTGCGGCAATATGCCTAAAGCTTTGCCGCACCCTGTAATGTGATTGGTCGGAATACGGGGCGCCCTCCCGGAGGTCACGTCTTCTGTATGTACTGCCGATGTGTATGAGAAGGACAACTGTAGAGCGCGGGTAGAATCGTGAGAAATCGTCAGTCTCTGCCATTGAGTGCGGAGACAGTCGTCTGCCGTGTTTTTTTCTTTCCCCCCTTTCCTGCTCACTGCAGTGTGCTCAGACTGCGTGCTCAAGCCATTCTTCATTGAGAAGTGCACGCGCCAGTGCATGTACTGTAATGACACTAGCGCAGAGCGCCGAAGTAGAGGATTTTCTGCATGTCTGGGACGACACGAGTAGGACACGGGGCTAATTTGCCCGTAGCAGGGATGCGTACCAAGCCACCGGATTCGCAGCATGTGGTATTACACGTCTCCAGCAGCAGCACTTAGACAGGCGGGAATACCCTCAAGGAACCCACATAGCATTGCTTCCCCACGGCCATGCCCCTTCAGGCATGATGTCCGGCAGGCCACAGCGCCATCCTGACCCGAGGACTCGGGTTGATAATCCAGCCACACTTTCTTTCATATGCACCATGATTCATCAGCTCCTGCATGCCGCGCCGCGCCTGGGCCAGAGGAAAGCTACACTCCCTGCAGCTCCTCGAGTAATGTGCGTGCTTCCTTCTCGGGCGCATCCGTATTTCTTCTGGCAGGGCCCCCCTCCCCTCCTCCTCAGGTGTTGCGGCCAGGGGTTCCCACTCGTTCCATTGTCTCGGGTGATCTAGACAAAGTCAAGCTACCCCGACCCATCGATGGCTCGGTTGACCTACCGTTGAGCCATTATAACTATCAGGATAGTCTCCCTCGTCCATGAATCAGGAGCTTCGAAGCTTCGAGTCGACTGTCACTTTGGTTCCAGACCCAGACCCTTGGGCTCATGCTAGCAAGATAATAACCTCTGTCCTTGGCAGCTCAGTTGACGAGCGTTCAACCTCAGGACAGGGCAACATCACACTCCAACTCGGTGATGCATCCTCTGCAATGGATCAGTCTGACGAACAGACCGCACTCGACGATGACAATACCTTTGTACATTCAACTTCTCCATTATCTCATACCTAGACACGACGACTAATATGTAATCACAGTACCTCTTCTCTAAGCTTCCACCCGAGTTGCGGGTAAAGATCTGGACCTATAACTACCCGCAGACCCGGATCATCTCCATCAAATGTGCTCCCAGATCGCTCTCTGTTGGCTCAGATGATCTCTTCTATACACGGCGGACCAGTGGGTGTACCTCGACCGCCAAGATACCCGTGAATCTACATGTCTGCGCCGAGTCGCGAAGGGAAGCTCTAAAAAAGTATACACGGTCGTTTGGCATTGCCCGGCAGAAGGGGCAGATCTACTTTGACACGGAGGAGGACATTTTATATTTCGGGCCACGAGACGGATACATGGCATCAGAAGGGAACCTGCGCTCCGTCCTATCACTGGTTTCACCGACAGAACTCGCGGTCGTGCGGCGGGTCGCCATCAACGAGGCCCTCTTCTGGGTGAACAGCACCGACGCAAACTACCACTCCGGGCTGGCGGCGAGCCTGACCTACGACATCCTGAAGCTGGTGCGGAGGAGGCTGCCGGGCCTGCGGGAGCTCATCTTCGTGCCCCGCGACGAGAACCCCGTCTACAGCGACACGGCCATGTTCGTGGAGCCGCCCATCGTCCAGACGCGGATCACGAGGCAGGTCGCCACCGCCGTGCGCATGCTGTGCGAGAAGTTCCCCCACTGGAGCCCTCCGCGGTGGAAGATCATGACGCTGAGTGCGGTCCCGGACCCCCCGGTCTACGAGCGCGGTGTCCTGGGCTACGGGGACGGGCAGAGCAGGAGGAGTGCCATAATGGAGACGATCATGCAGCGATCAAGGGATATGGAGGCGCTTGAGGACGAGGAGGCGGCGACGGACTAGCAGCAGGACAGACACTCAGCTCTCGACGATAAGGGGGGTTGCAGGTGGAGCGGCGGTTTGTGTCCGAGAAGCTGCTAGCTGCTTTGAAACATACTTGCGAGAACCAAACCCAACGTGGGTCGCTCCAGTCTCTCTGGGGCAGTTAAGTCTGGCATGACATACATCGTGTGCGCGGTTGCACTTATTTTTTTTTCTCTCACGTTTGTGATGATGACAAGGGAGGCTTTCTGTTGGTGCATTTTCGGAGACTGGTCCCTGAAAGGGAAGCCCGAAGCGAACTTGGGCTAGGTAATGGGTGGCAGACTGGGGCAAGCAATGTCCACTATCCTTGTTTTGAGAGCGTGTATGTGTGAGAAAGAGACAGAAGAGATCTACATTCTATCTTCTATCATGGGAGCTATTCATCATGGGCGAACGAGCGAGCAAGCAAGCTTAGGCGAGGGCCTCGTCTTCGTGTTGGCGCGCGGTGTGCACGTCTACCTACCTAACTAAACAGGTCTACCTTACCTCACTAACAAGGGAGTTCGCCTCACGCTCGGACGTAGCGCCATTGGCTGGCTACTCAGGATCGCGAAAAAGCCCCTTCGTGCTGTCGAACGGCCGTAGGGGCCTTCCGGGGGGCGCCATTGTCTATCGTCCAGTGTCCAGCGTTCGAGAAGGAGGAGGAGACGACGATGCAATGTGCAGTGTCGCGATGTCAAGTGACCAAGCGCATGCGTCTAGATCGAGGCGAGATTGACGTCTGGGCTAGGCCAAGCCGTGCGGTGCCAGGCTTGCCAGGGGTGCTCGCGGCGGCGGCCGTGCTTTACAGTACAGTATAGTCCTATGCCCCGGCGGGGGAAGGTCTTAGTGCGGGCAGGGCGGTTAGGGGACCGGCCGGTCTAGAACCTGGAGCCCTCTGACACCGCCCGCGCTGCCCCTCGATCCCCTCCTCTGTCTCTATGCCATGCGACGGGATGCAAGGGAATAATCAGTTCGACGAATCCCGTGTCTTTCTTTCCTCGCACCTCTGGACGAATCGGGCGGCTGAATCCGACTGCTAGCATACCTTGCCCAGGCAACTGCAGGCCGGACCAGATGTTTATGGCCCCTTTCCACCTCATCCATGGGCAGCGGATGGACAGGCAGGTTGATTGATCAATCGATTGATGCATTGATTAGCATCACAATTGGGTTGCCGGCCTTACACCGCGCCATGCTCTCTTCAGGTAGGCTGTACCTAGGTAGCCTTTGGGGCCGCCAAAGAGAGCCGCGCCTCCATCATAGAGCAATACCAAGATGTGACAGGAGTTCAGGGCCCAGACCGAGGAAAGCCAAGGCCTATCAAAGGCGTCTTAGTTCCCCGAGTTCCCTTGTCAAGTGTGAAAGACAGCTTTGTGAGATTCCTCGGAGTTCCAGCAGCTAATTTTATTTTAATTGTTTGCTATGAGACATGCATGTCTCTGTTGAACGATACCCAGACACACAATGACAAACCCTTTTTCTTTGCTTTCCCGCTCAACTGCAGCGGACCGCCGAAACTCGCCGGTAAAAGCGCCGAGAGACTGTGGTACGATGCACCACTGAACCCATTGCGCCAGGTAAACATTCTGCTCAATTACTTAAGGCCTGTTAAGTGGGATTTTTTTTCTTTTTCGGTGGAGTTTCGTAGATTACCCTATCCTCGTCGGTTGGCCGGGCGTCGTCCATCAGATAGTTTAGGTAAGCAGATAATGAAGTGGCTTTTTAGTCTTAAGAGGTTCCCCTGAGACAACGTCATTGTCGGCACTGCTGGCGGCCGATGCCTCGGCACACCGTAGGGCCTCTACGCCGCACGCGGCCGGGCGAACCTTGCGCTCCCCTCACGCGCTCTGAAGTTCCCCCGAGTAACGTGCGTGTGCCAAGGCCATCCCCCAGCGAAGCTTATTTGAATAATTCGAGTTGGGACTTCTTCATGTGAAGCGCATCATCTCTCCATTCTAGGCAAACACTGTATATTGCATTCAGATTTCCATTTGAGGCTCACAACGGTACCAAAAATGACAGCTGCAGACGCAAAGATCAAGCTTCATTGGTAGGAGTTCTTTAATGCATTGGCCAATTGATGTGGCCCAAGATCCCGAAAGTGCTAACAATGTTGCAGGCTCAATGGCTCCCGCGCACAGGCGATCCTGTGGCTATTGGAGGAGCTCGAAGTCCCTTACGAGCTCGAGGTATATCATCGTCAACCCAATTTCCTTGCGCCGCCAGAGCTCGAGAAAATCCATCCTCTGGGCAAGTCGCCCCTGATAACTATCACAACCAGCGATGGCGACTCCAAGGTGCTGGCAGAGAGCGGCTTTATCATGCAGTACTTGTGCGAACACTTCGGGAAGGGCAAGAGCCTCGTCCCGAAGCGCTGGAAGGATGGCCAGGAAGGGCAACTCGGCGGCGAAACAGAAGAGTGGATGCGATTCCAGTATACCCTCTACTATAGCGAGGGTAGTTTCATGCCCTACGCCTGGCTGCACCTGATCCTGTCAACGATTAAGGGCCCTGCCGTACCCTTTTTCGTTAGACCCATCTCGGCCATGATTTCCAACAAGGTCAGCAGCATGCTGGTTTACCCCAACATCAAGAGGCATTTCACCTTCCTCGAGCGTCAGCTGGAGACCTCTCCCAACGGCGGCAATTACCTCGCCGGGGAGCACCTCACCGCCGCGGACATCATCATGAGCTACCCCCTGATTGCCGGGAAGAATTCTTTCAACGGGATGGGCCAGTGGGAGAAGGGCACCATACAGGAGACGTACCCCAAGGCGTTTGCATACATCTCGCGTCTGGAGAATGAGCCTGGCTGGACTAGATCGGCGGACAAGATTCGCGAGATCGACGGGAAATTCAGCGTCTCCCCCCGCGACGATATTTGACAATCAAAGGCAAAACTGTGATACTCAACTCGGTGTGCAGCGGCGCATCGTGCAAGGTACCGATGGCTTACTAGAGCTTATAAATGTACAAATAGATAGATACCACTCATATACCCATCAAATGCACCTGTAAATCGCCAAAGCTCAAGCGAAAGGATCTGTATCTCGGTGCCTTGTTCAGGGGTGTGTCAGCCGTAAGACGTCAGCTCTGGTGGGGTGGTGCGATCCCCTGCACCTTCGCCTGCTCCTGGCTGTGTGCCTTGATCTAACCAAGCTTTCTTCCCAGATTTCTCTGCTGCTATCGACCGAACTATCGACATTCCGCATTGGTTCGAACTTGCGAGCACTGCCCATCTCGCGGCCTCAATCCTTACACCTAGTGTTGTTGCAGGATCGTTGTGTGAAAAGCCAATTGGCCTGTATGACGTCAAGACATGCGCGATGAACTAGAGAATGCCAGCTGGCCTGTTCGCCAGGGATTCCAATCGTACAGTCGAGCTATCATTATCATCGCTCTGCTACCACGATCGGACAGGGATGGAGGTAATTCCGCTGATTCGGGTCCGGGCCTCGATGCGGGAAGGGGCTGAGTCGGGCAGTACGCGGATAGCTCAAGGTGACGTGGGGGCCTAGCAAAAGTCAAATGTCATTCCCCTTTCCGGAAGACCCTTAAAGATACGGCCCGTGCCAAGGCATTCTTCTTTTCGATGGTGACCTGCAATTGAGAAATTCGTGAGAAACTCGTCTTAATTATTTCTTAGCTTGCTTCTGGCTTCGGCCCTTTCGCTCATTCTAGACGTCTTCGCATGCCCGGTACATCCGGAACACCCGGGCTGGTGGCATACTAGTCGAATAACAAAAGACACTTCAGCGCCCGAAGACCTCCTGACGCCCGAATTGCGTATTCACCGCTTTGGGATGCCAATATTTGCTTCGGATCTGATCAATTGCATTAAAGCCTTGGACTATGGGGTAATTAGCCCGTGCGGCATATGACTGGTCGTGATTTGGATGGAACCCGTGAGAGACTGCGACCTTTTGGACTGAAGGACACGCAATTCGCTCTGCAAAATGGCAGCGGCACAGCAGCCGATTGAGGTCCCGTTACCTCTGGAAATCCCGGATCGGGAACCTTCACCACAGACGGACGGGGCTGATGATGACCTCTATGCTGATCAGGAAAATGCACAAGCTCTCATTCAACCACAGATCAGTCCCATTGCAACGCGGATCACTTCACCGTTAACGCTGGCAGCTGAGAAGGCGGCTATCCTAGACTTGATACCGGCCGAGGATGAGTCTGATGGGACCCAATCTTCCTTTCCAGGGCTACGGCCACATGTCCCAGAGAGAACTCCTGTGTCTAGAGCATTGAGCAGTCGTAGGGATAGAGTTCAATCGATGATTGATGCCCCATCTACGCAACTTCAGACATATCCATTGCCCACACCATGGACATCAGGCCCGAAAGAATTCTCGGTGGACAATGCGCAAGAGGGAAGACCAGCGCTGGCAGGCGTGTTCGGTCAGCCACGATCCAGGCGATCTACATCGGTTGGGCATGAAGCTCTCAGACGGTTATCAAAGGCTTTCCCCTCCATGTCTCTCTCTGGCAACCTTCTGTCAAATATCTCAACACCCTCTTTCTTTTCCTCAACATTGTCAAAATCTGATTCTGCGAGTGCTACGCCTACACGCAACTCTCCCGAGCATACACCACAGCTAGGGGTTGTCACTTACAGGAAGAAAGCTCCCGCCCCGATCAGCATCACGCCGCCGGCTCAGCAAGACGCAGTCACACATTCTGATCTTACACGTCCGCGATCGATCGCCTCGAGGAAGTCTCTGGCTCTAAGGAAGTCGACATCTAATGATTCGCTCCTTTATCATTCACTCTCGAGAGTTTCCTCCTTTGGAGATGATGATCGCTTCCTCAATCAACGAGACCAAGTCAACTCTAGATTCAAGGCAATCAAGGATAGTTGGGACCCTCCGTTCAAGCTTCCTCAGCTGCCAAGTAAGGCCTCCTGCCTATAACCGCCTCTATCTCCGCCTGATTTAGACCAACTGGCCGTTTCTTTTGTAGGCTTTGCTAACGTTAATCAGGCATCTTGCCTTCTCCGATGAAAAAGGCGCAGTTCTCTCCAGAGGAAGTAGGCTTTGAGACGCCTAGGTCCTCATCATTCAAAGTAAATACTAGAACGTCACGAGATGTTTCTTCGCCACTGGATAACATCTTGGACTCACTCACCGGCGACATCGTCATCATGGGTGGCTATAGAGGATCTATTCTTCGCTCTGCAGAACCACCACACCGGCAGTTATGGGTGCCGGTCAAAGTGGGCTTGAACATACGCAAGGTAAACCTTGAGGTAGGACTTGATCCAGAAGATGAAGAAAACATGGAGAAAACCATATTCCCATCCGGCATGCTTCAGAATATCGGACCTGTCGATATTGCTAAACGACTCTTCAAGAAATTACGAGAGAGCGACAATGCAAAGTCAGGCAAGCTTAGAGTTCATGATTACGGCTACGACTGGCGATTGAGCCCACATCTGCTCTCTCGAAAGCTCATCGAGTTCCTCGAGAAGCTCCCATCGAATCAATCGACGACCGCTCCGGAAAAAAGGGGAGCGCTGGTCATTGCCCACAGCCTAGGCGGATTGCTTACTCGGCACGCCGTCAACAAGCGACCGGAACTGTTTTCTGGGGTGGTGTACGCGGGATCCCCACAGCGATGTGTGAACATCTTAGGCCCTCTTCGAAACGGAGACGCGGTTCTATTGAACGAAAAAGTACTCACTGCCCAGGTGAACTTCTCTCTGCGGACGACATTCGTCTTCCTGCCTGAAGACGGCTACTGTTTCATAGACAAGTTCACGGGAGAGGAATATCCCGTAGACTTCTATGATATAAACGACTGGATCAAATACCGCTGGTGCCCATGCGTGGGAGAACCTGCTCTCCCGCCGTTTCTTAACCGATCTGGTTCTCTCGGCTCTTTTCTGAACCGGTCAAGCAGTCTATCTCTAAGGTCCCGCAGCGGCAGTGACCCAAAGAAGGTCCAGTCGCCGACTGGGAACCCAATCGCGGAAGCTGCACGCATGGTGACCAAAGACCGGACACTGGCGCCACAGATGGACTCCTCAGCTGCAGCAGATTCGCGGTCTCAAGGAGCCGCTGCATCCTCGTCGATGCCAAAGACGGTACATCGACGAGTCAGCGATCCTCAAGCCAAGTCTATTGAGTACTTAACAAGGACGCTCGCCGAAACGAAGCAGTTCCGAGCGGAGACGGCACATAATCCAGCGCACACTGAAGCGAATATATACCCGCCTCTTGCAGTCATCTACGGCAAGGACATACCTACTCTCTCTGCGGCTCGGGTGGCCGGCCGGGATGCGATTGCCTGTGCGGATGCCTACGATGACCTCGCCTTCCGCTCAGGCGACGGAGTAGTGTTGGCCCGAGAGGCCATGTTGCCACCCGGGTATGAGCTTGTAAATGGTGGGAGAGTTAGCACTGATAGGGGTCATGTCACAATGCTAGGTGACCTTCCCGCAGTTGGGCGAGCCCTGGAGGCTGTTGTCCGAGGGCGTAGGAAGGGCATTGGGATGGGACAGCATGGGAAACGAAGGGCCAGTTGAGAGACTGCATGTATGAATTAGGATAGATGGCATAGCTCACGCAAGCATGAATCATGTGTGTATGAATAGTAGCAGTATATACTACGCAGTATATGAAATCCGCATCTAGTTACTTATTGCGATTGCTTCATTTGCCAATCTCACCTCAGTGAATGAAGGTCACCTGGGATTTGAGTGCATTAGGTAATCACACATGGTGGTGGTCCGTGCACCTTGAGGCTTGCTCGAACCTCAACTTTGAGGATACGAGGAGCAGCTTGATCATTCTCCTCACCAGCACCAATCAACACCCCTCAACGCGCTCACACCGTGAGAGCACACAATCAATCAAGATGGCGGGCATGCAGCATTACAGTGAGTATCAAGTTTGACCTAATTGAGTAACCTTTTGTTACTGACTTCCATTTGCAGAGATGGCGCTGGATCCGGCGATCATCCGGCTGAACAGTACGTTATTGCCGACAACGGCCTCGATCGAGAACGAGCGAGCGCGATAGATTGAGTGAAATGATTTTCCTAACTAGGAGCAGACATGACAAACAACCGCTACAAGTACTTCCGATGGACGCCGCGGACAGCCTGGATCACATTCGTATACGTCGGACTTGTACCGGCGCTCTTCGGGATTGTGGCCTACTCTACAGACGTGAGTGCAACCTCGGCCCTCGCTATTCTCTATTTATCATTAGATTACTGATTCGATGTCGGGTTAGGGGAAATACGATCTACGAGCGAAGCGAAGGGGCGACGATATCCGGGAGTTTTAGACCTGAGGCGGACTGGCGGAAGACATCGCAAGCTGTACATAAATCGGGGAGACAAACTCCAACGGGAAACCTGTCACATCAAGAAAGAATAAATTCACTGCAAAAGTGCCAACATCAATGCGAGAAAGCACCGAGTCGATTTGTGATTAAATTTCAAGGCTCCATCTCCTTTCCATGGATATCATAATGCGCATCGAGAATAATCTACATAATACCAGTACATAAGTGACGTAGAAATCGCTGCCACTACCATCGTCCTCTTCCCCTACCCCTATCCCTCCCTGGCGGCGGCGCATCTGGCAGTCTCTCTCCTCTCCGCCATTCGCCCATGGGTATATGAGTGGGCGGCTCTCGACCCCCAAAACCACCACTGTATCCTCCCCTACCACCACCACCTCCCCCTCTACCGCCGTGACCACCAAAGCCGTTCTCTCTCCTCGGAGGCGGTCCGCCCATAGCAGACCTGGCCTCTCCTAGCCCCGTGCCCCTGCCTGTCCGCGCGTTCGACGCTGGCACCACCGCTCCGCTTGGAGACGGCGGGAGAATCGCGCATGAGATGAAGTCACCGACCACGAACTTCGCATCGCCCAGCGTCTTGGCGCTCTCAGCTTCTGATCCGACCATCGAGGTGCCCGCGTAGTCGTCGTCTCCGTTCTCCTCGGCGCCCTCGACGTGAATGCCCGGCCCGCCGTCCCCAATCACAACACTTCCTAAGTCCTTGACGATGAACCGCGCTGAGCCATGATGTTGCGGCCCCCCGCCGCCCCCTCCTCCGGGACCGCCTCCGCGCGCGTCTGCGTAGATCAGGCGGAAGGCTAGGCGTGTGCCGATTGCTGGTTCCGGTAGCAGGCTCGGCATGGAGTCGGCGAGCTGGTGCGAGAGCTCGGAGAGCGTGCAACTCGGCCAGGTATACAGATTGACGTGCGGAGGCAGGTGGCGAGAGTTCCCGCTGGCAAACTCATCAGGCCTGGATAGAGATATTAGGTAGAGTTCAGAGCACGAGATCCGACGAGAGGCCTTGCCTGTGAAATGCGCCCGTTCGGTAGAAGAGCTTCAGTAGGAACGGCGCGGACGCCTCGCGGTCTCGTCCGGCGGCGGAATCCATTGCAGCTGGTTGTGGGAGCTGCACCTCTCCTAAGCTGAACGTATGACCTAATGGAAACCTTGGCTTCTCTCCCTGATATGACGTGCCGGCTAAGAATCCATGATCGAGCTCCGACTCTCGATACAGCGCATTGAGGTGGTGTTGGAAAGGAACCAATGTTGCGTCTGGCAGCGCTAATATGCGGCGGAACTCGACTATCGCGGGGCGGACAGAGCACCGACACTTGTGTGACAGCGGGGTGACGCCTAAAATTTTAGTGCGTGGCGGAGTGCACATGCTTAAACTTTCGTCAAATCGATACCATACGATGCGGAAAAGTGCACAGTACACGACATAGACTCTTTACGATCAGGCAAACTTATCACCAAGTACCTTTTTCAAGCTACATACGAAGGTTCCTATCATATCGTCAAAATGGACTTCGCAGCCCTGATGTCCAAGGAGATCGCCAAGGCGAAAGGCACCAGCTCTCCCAGCAACGACGCCAAATCCTCCTCTACCACCACCAACAAGAAATTCATCCGCAAGGCCGAAGCCGAAGCAGCCCGACAGGAGGCCTACATAGCCGAGCAGAAAGCCCTCGCGGCCGAGAAGGAGGCGCGCGCAGCCGCCAAGCGCAAGCGCGAGGAAGAGGCGGCGGAAGAAGCAAAAGCGCGAGAAGAGAAGCGCAGGAGGCTGGCAGAGGAGTCGCGGCGGCGCAAGGCGGAGAAGGACGCTGAAGAGGAGCGTGCGAGGAGGAAGCGGCTGGGCCTGCCGGAGCTGCCGCCCGAGAAGGAGGGCACGCCGGCGTCTGGCGCTGAGGAGGCGGCCGATGACGAGGAGGAGGATGTACCAGAGGATGAGCTCACAACGAGGCTGCGTGAACTTGGGGAGCCGGCGCAGCTGTTCGGAGAGACGCATGCCAGACGGCTGAAGCGGTATCGCAAGCTCACGACGGTGATGTCACAGGGTCCGATCCCGACGACGCTGGCACTGGTGGACGAGAAGGACATGAAGGTCGATGGGACGGTGCCGAAGGATAAGGCAGGGCGCAAGTGGTTATACCGGCAGCTTGCGAGCTACTTCTCTATGGTGTTACGGGAGTGGGAGATTGCCCTGGCACACGAGCGGAATACGGATACGTTCGCGGGCAAGGCGGCGTACAACGCCATGGCGCAGAGCAAGGAGACGATGAGACCACTGTTCCGCAAGTTCGAGAAGGGCGACCTCGACGAGAGTATCCTGGAGCCGGTGGTAGAGATTGTCAAGGCCGCACAGGAGCGACGTTATGTCGATGCCAACGATGGATATCTGCGACTCAGTATCGGCAAGGCGGCATGGCCAATTGGAGTTACCATGGTGGGCATCCACGAGCGTAGCGCGCGAGAAAAGCTACATAATGGCGAGAAAGGGCATGTCATGGGAGATGAAGTCACACGGAAATTCCTGCAGAGCATCAAGAGGTGTCTTACGTTCGCTCAAGTGCGGTGGCCTCCAGAAGACATTAGACAGATGATGGGTTAGCCACGGAGCTTCTCCCCGGCTTCTCATTAAAGTGGATTTGTCGTCCTTGAGCAGAGCCCGGTAGGACAAATTAGAGTTATACCCAATATCAAAGTTCTTAGTGTGGGCTTGCGATCAAGTGATCTCATGATTCTCATTACATGTACAAGCTGTCTGTCATGCATACCTTTGAGTGTCAATAACGACCCATTGCGACCATTAATCCGTTCTTTCTAGGGCCGGCTTTCCATGCTGAGCCAATGCTTCGTAATAGCAAATAAACAGCCATTGACGCCATTCTATCCGCGCCCCTGCCTATGCATCATTGATGAAGTCACACGTATTTCCTCAAATGTCATGTTCCTGGAGCCCGTGAAGCTGTCTCCGAGTGTCATCCGCCCAGCTCTCAGATATACCAGCGATTCCGCCCTGATTGCGCTTCGTTCCCTTCACTTCCAGATCCGCGGCGATGATGTTCATTCGTCGGATTCGCTCCAAGGCCTCTTTCTCATAGCTCTTGGCAGTCTCGAGAGTTGTCTGCTGCATCTTCACTCTAGGATTGATAGAAACCGTTGTGACGAGCTACCATGTGTTGTTAGTTAAAATATATGTAGGGCTTCTCCCCAAGCCACATACCTTGTCGATGCTGTCGATCCGTGCCTGGAGTACGCCTTCACGAATCATTCCAGCAAGCTCGTCTTCAAGGGATTGACCGGGAAGAGCAAACGCCGCGTTCATACTCTCAAGAGTAACACAAGAGAAGGGAATTAGGTACTGGACAATGCACTTGCTCCGGATCTGTGAGTAGATGGACTTGATGTGTTTCTGCAGGTAGATATCGAGAAGATAATCGGATCGGTAAGATTCTAGGATGGCGAGGCAGGCTGAGTATCTGCCGTTGACGAACTGCGTAATAGCTCGTCGAATATGGGGCTCCAGCTCCAAAAATGTGCGGAAATTCTGATTGTCAAGAACCTTGGCCTGGAGATCCTTTCGATCCATCGTTGCGAGGGCCAGCAAGCCCCCGTAGATGGCGACGTCATTTGGGCTGGCGTAATCGTTATACGTAGATGATGGGGACGTGGCATCAGTCTGTAGGAAGCTCAAAGCTGCGTCCGCATATTTCTCCTGGCCCAAGAGTGCAATTCCGTGCATGATTTTCAAGTAGGGTTGGATAGCTTTCTCTTCGTCTCCGTTCTGCAGTCCGGTGATCTTGTTTAGGTTGGCAGTCACCATGGGCCACTCGCGACGCTGAACAGATATGCTGACGAGGTGCTTTCCGACGTCGATAAGGTGTTTTGATGTGCTAACATCCGGTCGCATGCGATAATACGCTTCTGCCGCAGCGTCAAGCTCGCCGATCGCCTCAAGGTGTCTACCTAGGTCTTCATTTCCCATCTGGTAGTTTCTCTGTTAGCTCCTTCTCTAGGATATGACTCTATGTTAAGATAATACGCTGGGCTCGATGATGTGCAACAAAGACCTTGCAAAATCGAGCTAAGTGAGCCGAATTTCAAACTTACTCGGATGCTCTCTTTGACGAGATTATTCTTGTAGCCCTTCAGCTCAACCTCCAGACGATGAGTCTCAGCTTTATTGGATTTTTCTGTGGCATCCTCCCACGCTCGATCGAACTGTGCCTCCGGTTCCGAAGGGGCGACGACACGGATGCACTCCCAGGCATCGCGATAGCGCTGGACATCCTTGCTCTTCTTAGCCTCAGCGATCGCGGCTTTCAAGGCATCAACACACAGGGGCACGGAGGAGCGGCCGATGAGGTATAGTCTGTCGAATCGAGTTCGGCCTATTGAGACATGGGTTAGCTTGGCATTGGGATACGTGAAGGTGTCTTGCGGGAGCACACCTTTGTAGTTCTGGACATAGAGCTCTAAATCAAGCTTCGGGGCATCTGTAGATGATGAGACTTGTCAGCAAAGACGTATCCATGGAGAAAAGCAGATCCAGGCGATCGAAAGGTCAATTTTCGCGGAGAAGACGGACCTTGGACGACTATGCCACCCTGGGCATCCATAGCTGTGAAGTAGGCCAGGAGGCCTCCGTTGCCTGCTGCCATGGTGTGATATCGACTCAGAGAAGAGCCAGGCAGCTTGCCAGAGCGCTGAAAATCAGCAGACTGCTTGATCTGATGGAAGCCGTCAAGAAACAGACGAAGATGAAGCCAGCCAGGCAGAGGTGGGATGGCTGTTTGCGAAGAAGTGTCGTTGGAAGCTCCCCGCTCAAGCTGTCGTGGTGGGGTGGACGGCTCCGCAGGGCTGAACAACCGAGTGTGGCTGTGTAAAGTAGTTCGGGGATCTCCCGCGCAGCAAGCTTCGTGAATTGGTTAGAATTGGTCTAGAAACAGACCTGTCAAAAGTCCCCTGTTAATCATCCAGATCTACAAGCCTTTTTTAAGTTGTATCGATGCGCCATGGGCAGGCGATGGAAACGGCCTGGCGTTTACCGTCGTGATGGAGGCGTTCGGCAGCTGCTGCGATCTGCCCTACACTACCGACCTCACCTCTCACCTCTGCTCACCTTAAAGCTACACCTTAACTCGCTTCTCGCTTCACCTCCCTCCCTCTCCCCACGGTGCAGATACAAGTACCCAGACACTGTTTAGCACTGTCTACCTCGTCGCAGCACAAATACACAAGTCCTGTTGCGTCACTTGCATAAATCGGGCTCTACCTAGGTAGGTACCGGTGACGCTGCCATGTCACCTTCGAATAAAAGTGCGTTCCTTCACAATCCATTTCCCTGCCTGACTCGGCCTCCATTTCTTGGACAATCCACTCGCTAGGTCGATCGTCGGGCTTGGTTTCTACAGTAGGCAACTGGGCGTTCGAGATGATGATCACTTGATTGTTAATGATGCTAATGGTCGTCCCGAGTCCCCCAATCCTACCGCGCGACTGTCCCTGTTCCATTGCCGTCGGGACCATTTATTACTTTACGGAGACACGACGAGACGACAACAAGACAATTACCTAACTGTGCGCGGCCCCCGTCACGATAGAGCCAAGATGGAAAAGGCGAGGAATGACTCGTCCTGCCCTCTGACGTAGAGATCCCGCGCTACCGTCTGGAAGGTTATCTCGCATTCAACCAGAGCTGTCAAAAAATCGGATAGCCGTTAGGCCCGGATGTCCAACGCACCTTAGTCATAATCGTACGACTTCCTTATCGCATGGCTTTTCTCATTCAGTTCAGTCACAGCCTTTCCCCAAATCTCAATCTCAATCTCAGGGGTTTGCAGCCCGCAAAGCGACGCTATGGGAAGCCGTGGGAGCAACAGGCCCGTGGCACCCTGGCAGGCTGGAACAGCTAGACACACAGATGGATCATGGGTGCGTTCTGGGAACGCTGGGGAAGACGGTCTTCATTCCGCATGCATGCCTTCGCGCGACGAGCCTTTCCCATCCCCGTCATAGCCCCTTCGGCTTGCCCTAACAGTTTCTGCATTTCCATGGCATGCTCTTATTGCTTGCCAAGGGGAAGGAAGGCAAGGATGTCGCACAGAATAAGCCGCATATTGGTGGATGCTGAGACCACGCCCAGCTCCTCCTGGTGGAGGGACATAGGAAAAAGGTGAGGTAGGCAGGGTTTCGCCGGTGTCTCTCTTCCAGCTAAGCTACCTACCTACCTGCCGTACCGAAACCGAACCGTTGAACCCACAGGTGAGTCCGAACAAGGAAAGTGTTCCGTACCAGGGCACAGGTGCTATATTACTCGTCTCCTCTTGAAATTATATTTCCGAGCAGGTATGGGACCACCTTATTTGGAGGCTTTTCGAGGGTGGATGATCCAGGGCGTCGAAGGCTTTTCCTCTGGATAAGGGTAGCTGTGGATATGCTGCTCAGGTAAGGTACAGTGCAGTACATGTTGCTGATGCGCAATCTGCCCGCGTAAAATGCCCGTGCAAGGTACTTCAACGAGTGCCATGTATAATGGCTTACCTCAAGGTAGTCTAGTAGATGCTGAAAGGGGCAGCGGGAATTGCTCCTAGCCATCGATCCAGGGTCTCAAATGGCCTCTTTGTGACTGACATCAGTATCGCTAACATTGATTCTACCTTATTTTACCCCGCGGCCCCGGAACCAATCTTGGAAAGTCGTCGTAATCACACACTATAGTGCTACGAGCCAATCTGGGACAGACGCCAATCGCCTCTGCCAATGTCTAAATTGAGAGCAAGATTCTTCGGTACGAGTGTCGATCAGAGCGCGAGCGACGACCGGCATGCCTCGTAGGTAGTATGGACTATCATCGAAGCGTAGTAAATCTCCGAAGCTGTAGCTAACAAGGCGACTAATGGAGAGATGGAGGCACGGTACGGATCTGAATTACATTACAGTAGATGGGGGATCCATTCTTTTCTTTGTATCTGTCTGTGTGTCTTTGCCTAGGTAGAAATTTGTTCTCCAAGTCAGTCCAATCCTTTGCTCATGTGAGGTGTCCTTTTTTTTTTTTTTTGGTTGCCAATCCTCAACCGAGCGACGACTTAACCGTGCGGAGACCCACCGGCGGATTTGGAACGCGACGGAGACGGAGACGACTGGGAACTGAGAATGGAATTGAATCGGATTGGGTCAAGACTTGAATTTGTCTGGCAATCTGTATCTACAGGTATCTCATCTCCCTATCTGGTCATCCGCAGCAAATGCCTCCCACGCTCACGTTCACGCTCACGTTCGTGCTCATGCTTTTCTCATGCAATGCATGGGAGCAGCAGCACCGCAGCACCGCAGCACTTGGGCGGGGAAGCAGGACGCCGGACGGAGACACTCCCTGTCGAGGTGACTTGTTGATTGATGTGGTGAAGCCACCCTTGAAAGCCACCCTGGGCGCCACCCTGGGCGCTACCCTTGCGAAAGCCACCACCGGCTCTGGCGGGGGTCTTTTCCCTGGCGCCAAGTTCAAGGTTGTGTGTGCCCGTATATGGTACGTTCATTCACGTATCTAGTGTAGTGTAGTGCACGTAGCGGATTTTGTAGCGTGGCATGCCCCTCTATACGTGCAGCGTCACTGCGTCAAGAAGCGGGTGCGCGCCCCAATGGACGCCCAAAAGAAAAAAAGCGCCGTTCAGGTTGCGGTTTCCCCGTCTGACGGGGGCCCTTTTTTGCTGGGGCTCCTGGGGCGCCATTCTTTTAATATCGATCCAGTTAAATGCTTGGCGGCTTGGCAAAATGACTTCATCGGCTGCAGCTGCGTGATCCCTGCGCGCCATTACCCTTTCCTGTGGGGCCGGCACCACCTTTTTCTCAGCACGCCTAGCATCCTAGCGAGCTAGCCTCCTCTCACTACCTACATGTACTGCGTATACCCAGGTATACCCATGCGGCACGCAGTACGTGTATGTAGGGGCTCGAGGGGCTCTTGGTGTCATGCGTCCGGGTGTCCCTCCATGGCTTTTCGAGGTAAACCCGAAAAGACACATCTCTCGCTCAATACGCTGCACCTCATCGTCCGGCCTAGGAAGGTCAAGGGCCCGCAAGGTTAGGCACGACACCGCTTGGAGAATGGCGGGTTCCCACCGAGCCCACCGCGCAATTCAGTAGCGCAGCACCAACTCAGATAATGGAACGTGGGCGTGAGCAGGGACGCCTTGCGAGAACCGCGAGCCGATGCACGAGCTTCTGCAGGACTAAGCTCGATGCCCCCGGGGCCGCATCGCTCAACATGGCACTGTACCGGTACCTCCGCCGCAGACACTACATATCCAACAACAATCACCGTATTCCCGCTCTCCTCTACCACAGAGGACGCGGGAGAAGCTCCAGTACTGTACCTACACATCTATCTACCCTAGCCCTTGGCCTCGGGGAAAGGCAGATGCCAGCCGTCAAAGCCAAGAACGGTGCCAAGACACACCAGCCTTCAATGTTTTCCTTCCCAGGTCCCCTGGCTCGCCTGGCTGAGAAAACACCGACCACTCATAGCCGTAGCTGAGCGAGTGTCGATCTCCCAGAAGGACAAACGTCTGCCCCAAAGAATGCCCTGCAAGCCTTTTGCCAGCCTCTCACGTCGTGCTTCCGTTTTCACGACTCAGCCGGAGCCGTTCTAGCCGTACCGCATCGCCTTCCCTCTTCTCTTGTCACTACACCCTACCCGTGCTGCTGTTACGCAGTAGCGTCCACGCTTGCGGTCCCAGCAATATTATTTTTGGGATAGAGGGTCCGTCCTCATTAACGTTGTTGCGTAGCATGTCGCTCGTTTATCAGTCAGACTGGATATGGCGAGTGCAATGCTCGGACACACATGTACAGACTCATACAACACATACTCCCTTCATCACAAACGGAGTAGTGCGTACGTACCATACCGATTCATACGGCATCGCACAGCCATATTGCGCCTCATATGTGGGCTCTATATCTGTCAACCCAAAGCACAGCCCAGTAGGCGAGCGAGGCGAGGTCGGTAAGGATGAGCTTTGGAAGGTTATGCTGGCTGTAGGTACGTGGGCAGGTTATTCGCCCGTTCGTTCGCCGGGACAGCTTTGTACATGAACATCCCTGGCTAAAGTCCGACGCTCCTCCGAGTCAGCGTAGACGAATAACGGAGACAAAACCTCAACCGGTACGGGCGTGACGCCGATTCAATCATTGCAGATACATTGGTAAGCATCACAATCTCGCCGCGCAGGGTCAATGCCTAACAGCTTCAAAACTTGACCCTGTTGCCTCTCAAGCTACAACCTGTGTGGACATCGCAACGAAACGTGTCAAGGGGTGTCTAAAGGGCTCAACAATCAACATATCCATTGCGTACACCTGGCCCAGCATCCACTTGGCCCAGCTGCACCACCCTCTGTGTTGTGTGCCCGGCGAGCGCATTTTTACGCCATTGGGATCTGCTACAGCGGGCTTCTCCTTGAAGCAGCAAGCTCTCCCGGCAGGAGTCATCTCACACACGAGCCACCACCCAAGCGGTCTCGGCTGGTGGAAGCATTGACATTGTTGTCCTGTCGGTGCGGGGGGCATCCATTGCCCCAAGCTGCGGCTGACATCTCAACCGCCTACCATTACCATTACCTAGCTTAGCTCCTTAGGTACCTCCCTCGACCTACCTAGG